ATTTCACTAAACACAAGATGACATTCTTACCACTCTATAGGCTGAGGACAGAGCTCCTTGGCCACTCAGAGAAAAGGAGGATGAAGTCACTGCACAGAAATGAGAAGGACTCAAAACCTTGCTTAGCCCTGTGAAAGAAAGGCTGCAGAGGGACAGGAGTGCTCTCTGGGCTCTCTTGAGGGGAGAAGGTTGTTCTGTAAAAGCTTGATGCTGGCACAATAACACACAGGAACAAACTACCATCAGTAATTTTAGACCAGGAGGTTTGTGAGAGTTTACAGTACTTTGAATTGCTTTCAGGTGAGAGCAACAGGAGCAGTAAATGTACTGAATTATAGACCAGAGCTCCCTTCACGAAGGATTAACCCAACACAAACATCTGATGTGGGACAGGACTGGAAAATCCAGGGAGTCCCTGCCTGTCCAGCAGCCTTGTGAGCCCAGGGAGGCAGGGCCAGGCTGCTGATGTGCATGCAAGAAGGAGAGAAGGTTGCCTCCAAGGAGGAGAAAGCAAAGAGCTCTTTCTTTCTCAGCAGAGCTTAGTTCACTAATATTTCTCTCTTCAGTATATGCTTCCTCATGATTTTGTGAACAGTGGTTGAACTCATTTTACTCTAAATTTCCATGTAAGCCATAAAGACTTGGATTATACATAAATTATACATAAATATCTCCCTTTCTACATGAAAGCAGGAGAAGCAGTGGCTACCCAGTGACTTGATGTGTTCTGCCCTGCTCCCTGGCTCAATGACAAAAGCATTCTGATGACTTCAACAGATCAACAACCCCCTTCTTTCACTGACCACTTCCAGAATTGACCTTACCTGTTGGGTAGTGAGCCCATGCAGTCAACAGACAAGCCAAGGGAACCAGGTGAAGAGTTTGCAATGAGAAATATGGTGCCTATTCCATTGAATCCCACACAGCTACATCCTCTCCACTTGAAGAGGCTGATCCAGACTTAAAATCCAGAATAACTGTAGCATTGAAAATTAAATTCAGGAGTAAGGAATGGGGAATTGGCAGAGCATCCTTCGTCTCCTTGAAGAGGTTGTCTGCTTCAGGCACACTGAAAAGTTTTTAATGTCCAATTTCCAATTTGCTGCCAGCAGTCATCTCTTTTAGCTTCTATTTTAAAAATAAGAATAGACAAATACCTGAATGCTGCTCCTCAGCTATGCTTGTCAGTATTAGAGCTGGAGCTATTCCTTCTTGAACATCTAAAAAGCCTTGGCACATTGTCAATTTTACTTTAAATGACCAACTCAGGACTAAAGGGAAAAGATCTCTCCGCTGAGGAATTCAGGGTTTCATTGCTAGCCAAAAACTAGAATTAACTGCTTCAACCAAGTAAAACAGGCATTTGATATTATTCAAGCCACAGACACAATTGTATGCCAGCAGTGGCATTTTATGACCACTCTTTAAAACATCAGAAATTTAAATTGTCTCATAAACCCAGCTGGAAGGGCCAAATGCCCAGGAAAACATTAAGCTAGTGATGGCAGGAGAACAAGAACACGTTACAGCAAACTGAAAGCCTTTGGACCAGCATCCTACAAGCCAAGAGGTCACTGGTGAAAACTGCTCTACCTCCATAAAATGTAAAGATCCCTTACTATAATGTTTTAATGTTAATCTTCCAAACTACAAAACTTTTGAACGTATTACGCTACTTTCTTCAAATACCTGAATCAATTAATGTTTCCTCCCAAATGCCATGTTCCCTTTTTTCTGTCTCTGAACCCACTCTTGCTGAATGGCAAATCCCAGACTGATCTCAGCTGGAGCTGGAATGGAGACTAAACGCTTTTCTTACAAAGTCACTGCTTGCTGTCCTGCCTAAGATCCTGGATGCCATCCTTGACAGCCAGATATGAATCTGAAAGGAGAAGGATTAGCACTGCCCAGAATTTTGATTTTTCAGCTGAACCCCCTTTACAAGCAGAGATGACAGTGCCTGTGCCTCTCTGCAGGCACTTGGAGCTAATCCCATCAGTGGGATCATTTAGCCATTGAGGAGGGGAATGCAGAGGTGAGAGCTGGAGAGTGAGGCTCTGCAGTGGAATTTCGCAGCTCATCAGCTTTGCTTGCCTGCATGAGGCTGCTCTTCACACCAGAACACAAGATTCTGGAGCAAACCCAGAGAAAGGTGATGGAAACTGCTTGTCCATTCTTCCCTAGGATTTGTCCTTCCTGGAACATAAAGGCTTTGTCATTTCCACCTTACTTTCCCCGAATTGGCTCTTTGTGTACATGCCTCGGGGTGTGATTGACTTCTTTTTTGTAAAATACTAATTTCCACAGGACTTAAAGTGAGTTTTATTTTCCAGTGCAAGCCAGTTATATCCATGTGTAGAAGAGACTAAAACTTCAGAGGAGAGAAGGCAGGCACTGAATTGTTTTGGTGCTCTTGGCACTATAGATTTCTGCCTGCAAATCGAGCAGTTTGCAGTAGTTTGAGTCAATCAGCTTCAGATAAACCAAGGCCCCACTTCAGGAGAACACAAGGTCTGCCCTGCCCTTGCAGAGAGCTCTGTTTGCTCAGTGTGACTGCAAAGACAACTCACATCACTTCTCAAGCTATTAAATGTGAGCCTTCTGGATGTTACTGGATTCTGTAGGGAAGTTTATAGGGCATTTTCCTACTCTTCAGGAACTGCTGCCTGGTATTTCTCCTTATGACTTCTTCCTACAGAGCTACCAACAGTGCAAGATATGGGTTGTCTCCCATATCTTCCTCTCCAGAAGATGATCACATCTGAAAGAGAGGAAAGTCTCTAATCTGTGGCAACAACACTTACAGGTTTGGAGGTCACAGCCCCAAAGAGCTCTCAGGCATCATAGACATGGCTGCAACCAAAAACTGAGAGTAACCAAATGTGCCAAATTAAAGGGTCTATAACACACCCTAGAAAATGCTTTTCCTGGACCTCTGGACTTCCAGCAATCAGCCCCAGAGGGTGTCTAACCTTTCCCCCAAGCAGGTTGAAGATGCTCCTGCAGAAGCCGAGGTCCAGCTGCCCATTCAGCTCTCCCAGCTCCCGTGGAATGGGGCAGGTCCTCCATCCCAACACACAGAGCTACTGGCAGCCCTATAAGAAGCACTTAACAAGACACTGGAAGTGAGCAAATTCAGGGCACCAACTCTGTCCACAGCCCATGGCCCAGAGCTTCTGTGCTGGTGGCTCCAACAGATCAAACACAAACCTGGCACCCAGTGGGACTCCCACACTATTCCCGGCTCTGCTGCTGATTCACTTCTGCATCTCTTGTCCGACACATTTAGCTGGTGATATTATCCTCATACCTCACTGGGTGGAGCCAGGATTACTCAGTGTTTGCTTGCACTCAGCAGTTAACTTGACATGCTCTCACTGCGTTGTTCCCTCCTACTCTGTGCCTCATGCAGCCCTTCTGCCTGGGCCTGGATGGAATTCAAAAGCCCTTTCCTCTTCTTCCTGTTTCACAGTGAGGGAGATGAATTCTGCAGAAGTGTCACCCAAACTGACACCACCCAGTATTTAGTGTGTGGTGCTTCAGTACCAAGACAGCAATAAGACAAAAACTTGGAGACTCCCTGTAATTTTATCCTCTAATCCTTGTCCCAGGGGAACAGCTCTTGGTCAACACTGGCTAATGCAACATTGTCTATCATCACACTCCTCAGTTACTACTGACACAGTGTCTTCCTCCTCTGTATGTGATTACTCCCCCTTGGATCTCACAGCTTCATCCTACCCAAGTTCTCTTGACTCTTTTTCCTTCTCAGTGGGATCCTCATGAACCTTCTACAAAGGCCTGTTAATACTTCTGACATTCCCAATCACCTGTTTCACCTCTTTTATAATAAGCATAGTGAGATGCACCTTTCTCCATCCCTCCTCTCCAATCCATATATTAGCAATTTTCCCAGTATTTTTGGCCTTAATGTGGCCAATGCTGTATTTCTGATTTTTTTTTCTCCACACCATCCTACCTATTCCCTTTATTATCCAATCTGCTGCCATTTTCCATGTCACTTCCCATTCATCCAGATTTGTGAAAATTACAGCACTTCTTCCCTAGTAATATTTTCTAATTCCTCATTTTCTACCTCCCTAAAGGACTGATGTTATTTCAGCACTACTGATCTCTGGTCTTTTGTCCTTCCCATACATATTTCCCCCTGAAACTGCCCTTCCTTGCTGACCTGTGCAAGAGGCTGAAACTTTCTTCTGCAAAGGGCTCTTGCAGTTAATGTTAGTAGGAAATCAGCTAGGAATAATTAACACCTTTCCATTTACAGTAATACAAACACACATCTGTGTCCTCTTCTTCCCACTCTTCTTTCCTGTGAGGAACAGCTCCTGCTAACACCTGCAAAACACACATTTTGTGGCCTGATCTTGTTCAGAGCCTCAGGCAGTGCAGTCAGAGGTAACAATGACATTTCCCAACAAAAGCCTGTCACCTACCGATGAGACAATAGTTTCACAGAACAAAACTGGGCACGATAACGATGGTGATAAGGTTGCACAATAACCCAAAGAACGACTGATCCGAATTGCCACTGATTGCACTGACTTAGTGACACGTGAAGGTTTTTCACAAGTGCTCCTAAGTGTGCTCTTCCCCTCCTTGATTATTTTGATAATGCACAGGAGAAAAAAAAAAAGAGGTTCACTTTTCTGCAAAGGTAACACTTTCAGTCACAAGTTTACACACTGTGAATAGTGTGTTTTCTGGGGGAATATTTCTAACTTTCCAACACAAAGAAATACGTAAAGATGCTATTTTCTGCTCTTCCTTTGCATCTTCCTCATCGTGAAGTGTATCAGGAACTGACTGCACTTCAGCCTACAAAAAAAGCAGAATATGAGAACTGCTAATTTGCCTCCAAGTAAAACCTGAGTGTGAGAACTAGGAACTACAGGGGCAGGCCTTGGCAAACACAGGGCACTGAGAGTCACATACTGCAGATTTTATTTTGCCCTACTTTTGGCAGGTGAACTGCAGACATGCCCAGTGAGAAGGGACGTGTGGAAATTCCTATGATTATGTATGAACCTCACCAGGATTCCTACAGGCAAGAACCCTCTGCACCAGAGTTCTGCAGCCAGGAGGGTAAGGAGGCTTCACCAGGGGGTTGGAAAGAGCATCTGATGGGGGTTGTGTGGCAAACTGATGGTTGGATCCTGAGCTGGATCATACAGGACCCAGCCTTGCCAGGACATGATGGGTTTAGAAAGCTTCTGTGCCAGAATATAAACCCCAGGGTTGGGGTAGGCAGGCTGGTGGGATCTCCTAATAAAAGCATCATTTAAAATGGCAATAAATATTTTTGTCCATCTAGTTAATAATTTTTCAAACTGCACATGCTTTATTGGGAAAGGAATTGCAGTTGTATCTCTACAATAATTTCATCTTATGAACGAGCAGATGTTCAGCCAGCAAACTTTGTACGTGGATGGGCTGTGTCTTGCTTAAACTGTCACCTACTTTTCCAGAGGACTGGCCTTTTCCCAAGCACTCCTGCTGACCAGAGCTGCCCTCCCTGGTTGAGTCAGTTCTGCCCCAGGCTCTGCAGGGGCGAACATCCCCTCCCCACGACTGAAGGGCTGACAATTCAGCTCAAAGACTTCGAGTGGGTGCCAACAGCTGCTGCTCTGCTGGGTTGGCTTTTCTCTCTGAAACCAGGCAGCGCTTTCACACCTACACAAGTATCTCACAACGCTCCTTTGTCTTCTGCCTCATTGAAAGACACACAGATATATTGTGATTGTACCTTTGTTACCTTCCTGCTCTTGAGGGAATTGACGTTTACCGGGCAGGACTGGAGAAAAAAAACAGAGTGGGAGGTCAGGTGGTGACTAATAAGGCTGGATGTGTCAGTACTGGGCCTCTAGAGGGGACTAATTTTCAGAGAATTTTACTCTGACCAGCTCTCTGTAAATATTTTTTGACTAGCCTCTTTCTAAACTCAGAAGAGATTAGAAGTTGGGGAGAAAAAGTCTCACTTGTGAGCTACTCAAGCAAGGGACAGGCACCCCACACATCTAATGCTGAGCTGCAGTGTCCTGTCCTTGTGCAGGAAGCAGGTCCTTCACAAAAACACACTGAGTGGTAACTCACTTGCACTAAGCACATTCCTTTCCTAGATCAGAAGGAAATTATTTAGTTCTTAGTTTTTTACAATTTTTTTTCTCCACAAATAACACCCCATTTAAAAAAAAAAACCCAAACAAAAAACTCCCTCAAAGCCAAAAACTGAACACCTCGCCACCACCATGAAACCCCAATGCCACTGTAAATCTCTACCACTCCTGGAAAGGCATTCAAGGAAACATTGCTAACTATTTTTCAAGTTTGCCATTGCATTTTGTCTCAGTCTGGAAAATTCCAGTTTTGTATCTCACTTTGTGTCCCTGTGGGCTTGACCAAACAGGACTTCTCATCAGACTGCCCTCCTGCTCCAGCCCAGATTAGTTTGATACCAGATAGTTTGATACCACCTCCACGCTATCTGGCTGCAAACCTTTTCACATGAATTTATTTTGAATTTCATTTATTCCACCTCAGGTAGGCTGACTGCATTCTTAACTTGTAAGATTAGTAAAAGACCTAAAAAAAACTTGAGGTCTCTTAGTCACCAACTTCCCTCTTCCTAAAAAACAAAAGGACTTTTTCCTAGAAAAAAAGAGTACAGTGCAATTACTGGGCTGGAAGCTCAGGGCAGATAAAGCTCAAACCAGAAAAAGGTTCTAAATACTAATAGCAAGGGTAGTTATCCCTGAAGTTAAAGGTAGGAGACAGCACCAATTGCCTGATGGCATTTGTCTGTTAGAAGCTGCTGTGATGAATTTCTTGTAATTACTGAAAAGGTTTGCACTCACATATTGCCCTGCTTTTCTTTGCACAGGGGGTTACGAGTTCCCTTCTCCCCCACCTTACTCCTACCGAGAAACCACCACCATCGAGCAGCCAGGTAAGTGCCAGGGGGCTGTGTTTCTGACAATGCCTGTGCTTCTCCATGCTAACAGAAGGGAAACAGTTCCAGTTCTAAAGTCAACAGAGAAAGTGGGAGTTTTCTGAGCCAATCACAATCTTGAAAATTTCCCTAGAAATGTTGGAAGATAAACTGAGAGACTCAGACTTGGTTTTCCAGCATTAGCCCATCTATAGAAGTACCCATTTTTTTTTAAAACCAGCTAGAAGCCAGGACTTTCAGAACAAATCATTTTAAGTCCAGTGTTTCTATTCTACTCACCTTTATGGAAGTGGAGAAGCTCAAAGGAGGTGCTTAGGAAAGGCTTCAAAGAATAGTCAATAACATCTCATACAGGAGGAAAGAAGATGTAATACATTTTTAAAAATCCCTAAGATCAGAAGGCAATTAAACTCAGCCATGCTATATCCTATCTATCCAACAGATGATACCTTCCCCACTCCTCAAGTTTTGCCTCAGGCTACAGTGTGAAGTTGTACCCTAAACTTGTTTAGGATCATTAAACCAGTATTTTTTTACTGAAAACATTTCTGAAAAAATATCCTTCGTGTACCTACAAGTGCCATGCCCTTCAGGGAGTCCAACAGTCAGGTTCAAACTGAGAAAACATGAGCCAGAGACTTTATTAACTGGGGACAGCACAAATGCCTGATGGCATTTGTATGTTAGAAGCTGCTTTGATGAATTTCTTGTAATTACTGAAAAGTTGATCCAGAAAGTTCCTCTATATCCTTCAAATCTCTTCTTCAGAGAAAACATGCATTTTCCTATTATTTTAAATATCAGAAGATAAACTCTCAGTGCCAGAGTACATCCATCAGTGGGTGGGGGTGGAGGCTGCCTGACTGTGGGGATTATCCCATGGGCCATTCCCTGGATATGTCCTTATCCAGGTAAACACTGGCTGTGTATCTTTGGGATACACAGAACAAGCAGTACAGTGATTCTTATGAATAAACCTGCAATTAATGGTAACACAGGTGCTGCATTAAGCCATGTTAAGAACCTACATTCTCCAACTGAGATTCTGTATCTTGGAAAGTATTTCTTGTGCTTCTAATTTTGCTGCTTCCCATTTCCCCTTGAACTCAAGTTTACTTGGTGTCTCAGCCCCCGATCATCGTAGCAGGGATCTTCTCAAGCAAACCAACATCCACAATATGTCCTTCCTGCCGCCAGCACATCACCACCCAGGTCACCTACAGACTGGGCAAGCTGTCCTTCCTCCTGTGCACCAGCCTGTGCATGGTTGGGTAAGCTTTCATGTACATTTTGCAGAGTGGCAGAAGGCTAAAAAAAGAGTAATTAAAAATAAAAGTTCTAGCTAGTGCTTATATAGACAGTTTGCCCTTCTCTACTTGATAAGAAGACATTCTGTCCATTCTAGATACAATCATCATGGCTACAGAGGATGCAAACCTGCTAAATTTAACCCAGTATGTTATTACTTTTCAAAAGACAAGCAAAAATTATTACAGCATTGCCTACTTCCCTACTGCAATTTAGGATCGGGCTCAGAATCAGATTAATGCATAAGATGTCAGCGGCGAAGAAGATTAATTTTTGGAAGATACTTTAAACATTAATAGACTTGGTAGAGAAGTGGATTTGTGCAGTGAAAAGACAGACAGAATAAGGCAGAGAAAAAGCACAGCTGTGGGCAGCAGAAAGAAAAGCCAGTGAATCATCTCTGTCCATCTCCCCTTTGGCTGTAGGTGCTGTTTTGGATGCTGCTTCGTACCTTTGTTTGTGAAGATCTTCAAGGACGCAGACCATTACTGCCCTTACTGCCAGTTTCACATTTATAGATACAAAAGACTGTAGAGACAAAGTTTATGCAACCAGATGATGTAAAGTGTCCATTTCCCAATGGCAAAAGATTCTACTCATAAAACTACTGCTAGAAAACATACAGAGGGGTATGTTTAGGTTCTGCAGCTCCCCTGCTGGTGAATCCACCTGGTAAACTCCAGTTTACCATCACATGGTGGGACTGACTTTAAAACAAAACCCTTGAAGACTAATTTACAGTGTCACTTGAACTTATGCTCTATTTGATTCGCTGCCCTGAGCTGTGAAGTTACCAGCTCTTGAGTACTTCAGCACTACTGCTCCTTCTCTCAGATCTCCAACCCAGCTGGACACAGACTCCTCTGGACCTGCCAACCCACCAGTACCCGAGAGGTTTGGACATGCACCTTTTGGAGAAGCACTCACCTTCTGTGCACTGGAACTGACTGGTCGGGATTTCATTTCTCTCTGCTCTTCTTCCTACGGGACCCACCCCTGCAGGGCTGTGGGTGGGACACTGTAGCTGATTATTTATTAACAAAATGCTAAGTTATGAGACTGTCTTTGCTCTGTTATAGACGAGGTAAGAAAATAAACCTGTTATTGTTAACAATGCTGGCAAAACATCTCCCGTCTGCATTGCTTCCATGACCCGCTGCACCCAGAGCAGGTCACACTGGGACACCCCTTTTACATTAACAAATCAAGATACAAAAGGCAAACACATAAAGAAGAAAAATCAGCAAGCACAGCTTGAAAAGAATCACCACAACCACAACACAAGGCCCTCATTCTACCTCTCTGCATTCCCACAGCAATGCATCATCTCCCAAACCGGGACTTAATAGAGACCTTAGACTTTACAGAGAACTTTTACAGTTCTCATTTAAAGTCACCTATCTTGTGAAATTAAATATCTCTAATTACACATAAAGAGGTGCCCAGACCCTGCTCAACACTGACTGCAGCAGCAGCTGCTGCTGCTTATTGCTTGCTGGAAAAACAAACAGAAGAGAAGAAACGCCCGCATATTTCAATGTTTTAACATCATAAATGCTTTTATGTTGGCGAGATGAGCGGCAGTGTCCCTGGGCTGCTCCCCTGCCCTGCTCTGGGCACAGGGCCTGCAATATGGGGCACTTTTTAGTGTCCAAACTTCCTCAGCCAAAACTTAACAGGACGGTGTTGGATCAAATGCCGTGTTTGGGCTGTTTTTTCAGCTTCAGCCACGAACCAGGCACGTCCCTCAGCAGCTGTTCGGGAGGTCAGTCCTTCAGTGGCCCCTCCGTGCAGGGGGCTGGGGGCACCTCCAACACCAACCCCTGGCCAGCAAGGGCAGGGGGGGACAGGGGACACCCAGCAGGGTCAGGGACACTGGAGAGGGTCAGGGGCACCAGGAAAGGTCAGGGACTGGGGCAGAGGAAGGGGATACCGGGTAGGGTCAGGGAACACCAGGCAGAGACAGGAAAGCTGGGCAGGGTCAGGGACACTGGACAGGGTCAGGGAACATCAGGCAGTGACAGGGGACAATGGGGAGGGTCAGGGACATCAGGCAGGGACAGGTACACTGGGCAGAGACAGGGACACTGGGGCAAGGTCAGGGGACAGCAGGCAGGATCAGGGATACCAGGGCAGGGACAGGGACAGTGGGGAGGGACAGGGGACACTGGGCAGGAACAGGGGACAGAGACAGGGACACAGGCAGGAGGACACCAGGCAGAGACAGTGGCACTGGGCAGGGACAGGGGACACTGGGCAGGGGTACCACTGTCTCCTCTCCTCCATCACCTGGCACTTCCACACAGCGAGGGTAGGTCTGAACGGGGGTGTTGGATGCTGTGGGTGTGAAGGTGGCCATAGAAATGAGCTCCTGGAATGGCACTGCCCACCAGCCCCGTCAATCCTAAACCACCCAGCACTGTCTGCACTGCAAACCACCTGTACTGAGCTGGCCCCACATCTCAGAATGGACAAACCCATCTCAGAATCCCACATCTCAGAATGGACAAACCCATCTCAGAATGGACAAACCGCTCCTACTGAGCCGGTCCCACGTTTTAGCTAAACTAGGGGGGGTATGTGCACTGCTTTTTGCTTCAACAAGTACAGAACTCCAGCAAGTATACAACTCCAGTCTGCAGACTGAGACACAAAAAAAGCACACTTGTATCAATATAAGTAAAAACTGTTAAACAACTACTTTCCCTGTCCTACACGACACCCAGACCCAGCACCCCCCAGCCTCCTCAACCCAGGCCTTCACTTGGTACCAAGGGTCAGTAACTCTCCCTCCTCTGGTCACCCAACCTCCTCTGACCTGATGGAAAATATTTCCACAACCATCACCCCCACAGGCAGCCATGCAGATGTCAGCCCAACAGGTTTTGTACCATTTCACACATTTTTTTAAGATGTTAAGATTCTTCTCCATTTTAAAATCTGGCTGTGAACAGCAAGCTTTGCCATTAAGTAGTGGTAAATAACACATCAAGTTGGTAACATTTACCAGGAAGGGTGCAAACCCCAAACCTACATGAATATACAAAGAAATTATATATATATATATGATTTAAGATGTGCAGGAGGTATTTAACAGTAGTTAGGACATTTTTACACCACTATTTACAGGTACAATAGTTTACACAAATATTTAATAAAAAAATAAAGGCTTCCAGGCACAGCCTGGAGGTTAGCAAATTTAATTTGCTGCTGTGCTTGGTACACAGCATTACCTGGAACAGAAATTAAGTTGAACACAGATTTGAAGCCAGATTTGGACATATCAGATGTGAACACTTTCCCTTTTTCTGACCCTAAAGACCAGGTGGGTTTAAAAGCCAAGAGTAAATGACACCTCACTGCTCACACACCAAACATCAACACTCTCCACCTCAAAATCCAAATGTTTTCGTTCCTTTGAGAAAAAAGGAGGGTTCAAAACTTGGAAATTGATGTGCAAGTCAGCATTTACCTTCTGGCCAGCTCTTCCTACACTATGAATGTCATTCCTGACACACAAGTTGTCTGAATTTTGCAAAACTTACCTATTTGATCTAGCCAAAATCACCTTGACTTCTGAGCGACCCATCCACTGCCACTCCCAACCCTTTTCCAAAATGAAGGCACGAGACACCGATGCAGTGTTTTACCCCGGGCTATTTTATTTACAATATATACAAGTTCCTACAGAAAACGATTTTCTCACAGAGGATATTAAATAGCAAAACCACGGCGTAGCTTAGCTCTGGGCACGGCCGCCTGCAGCCAGCACGGCGCCTCGGGCTGCTCCGAGCTCCGGGGGGATGCCGGGCGGGATGTTGGGTGGGATGCCAGGCGGGATGCAGGCAGGATGCCGGGCAGGATGCCGGGCAGGATGCTGGCACAGCTCCGGAGGGGCAGCGGCTGAGGTAGATCCATTATGCGGGAGGCACTCGCGCTCTGCTCATCGGCCGGGCCCTCCGACGCCTCCTGCGGCAGCACTGACTTGTCCCTTGTGGTACAAAGGGTGCTGGAGCTGGCTGTCACTCTCTAGGCAGCAGCTATGTCACCGGTGTGATTTGCTCAGATTTCACAGAATGCTTTGGACTCCTTTAGGATAAAAGGCACTATGTAAATCTACAGGAACAACGCTTGCTATTGGCAGAGGGAGGATTCGGATGGGCCGTTAACATCGTGTTGCTCTGATGCTTTGTACCATGAAATTACATCCTTATTGCTTAACACTTATATTACCATTAGCTGGATTTAATGCATTCACTGTCTATTATCCAGATAGATCCAAAATCTGAATAAGGAAATGGAAAGCATGGCAATTTTGAAGACTGTGTTCTTGTAAATTTTTTAGAATGAACTAAACAAACATACTGCACCTGAGAAAACCTCCTGTCTTCCTCTTCTCTTCATAGGTGTGTTTCCACATTTGAATAACAAGTTTACTTGTGCTCCAAAAAAAATTTTTTTTTTTTTTTCATAAAATCCTTCAGTTACTGAAAACTGCATATGGAATGCCTCCAAGTATGGACTTCTTCAAACTAGTGTGGGAGTAGCACAAATACTGCAGCACATAAAGTCTAGTCATCTAAAAACCAAAAGGCACCCAAAATCTACTTTGTTAGCGGCATTTTCTTCTGAAATAGGAAGGATTGTGGTTTCTTAGGATATTCCCTAAAAGCTGCCAACATCCCATAAATTAATGTGAAAACGTAGTGACATTCATATACAAGCTCAATTTTATATCAGTCTACCATAACACTAAATTCACAAAATATAATTAGGGCTTACTACTGCTGACCAGAGCCTCTGATTTCACAGAAATAGTCTGAAAACAAATCCTGACATATAGTGAAAGTCTGTAGAGACAATCCAAGTACCAGTAAAACCACCACTTGGACGCTGTAATTCTCACCAGCTTGATGGAAATACAAACCAAAGGAAAACTTCCCCCACTTAAGGCATGCCAGTCAAGCACTTCCCTCTATCCCTAACTTACACACTCAGAGACAAAAAAAAGTAAACAACTAGTTTGCTTTGACTGGAAATAAGAAACAGTTAAAAGCACTGCAAGATACAAACTAAAAAGAAAACCAAACATAGCTAAAACTTGCACTTTCTGTTTTGGTTATGAATACAGGGAACACATTACGGAGGGAACCTATTACTCTATGAAGAGACCTTACCTTTAGAGACTCCAGATTTCACTTTACACCATTTATAATATTAGACTTGAGAATCTGGACCACAAAATTTTGTACAGGCAGGCAGAGTCCAGTCTACCACGAAGACTCTACTACAAGCTTTACAAATGAACTAGTAAAATAATTTTTCCATTTGTCATTTGTACATGGCTCCTTCCTGGAAAACCTTTTATTTGTTAAGCTCAAATGTGACTAGTTAGGAGGTAAAAAAACCAAAACACAAAAAAAACCTCCAAAACCCAAAACTATTAGACAGAAAACCCCACAAAGTTTCCCCAAAACAACCAATGAGGATTATACAATTGTCAACACTTAAGGAAAAAAACCACACCTTTAGCAAAAATCTCACGAACGAAAACGTTTCCCAAAACTCTATTTCCAAGGAGAGGAGAAATCTTCTTCAATGTCCATGTCATCACTCATCGAAAAAAATTTTATAGAAAATTTTATTCAACATACAACATTTTCCAGCAAAAAAAGGCAATATACAGGAAGAGGAGTTGTACACTGCGGCTACAGAAACAAAATAAAATACTGGAAAAGAATGTAAAATTAAGTGTGAATTGCTGATTCTATCTTTACTGCACTCAAAACTAGACACGCGGCTGGCATTAGCTCCAAAAGAAAAGGAAGCAGTCTGGGGACTGAAATAAAACTACACACAATGAATATCAACATCAGTGAAATTCACTTGCAGACTCACCCAATAAAATTAACCTCCAAGTGTTAAATTGTACATGTTCATTCATTAAATATACAATTTCTTTTTTCTGTTTTTTTTTCTTCTTTTTTCTGTTTTTTTTTCCTCCTTTTTTATACAAAGTCAACAGCTTACTAAACACTAGTGAGCATGCCCTCTGTGCTAAAAGGCTAGTTCTTGTGTTTTCCCCATCTCTTCCCATGGTAACTAAATTAATGATATTTATAATCTTTTCACTTGCTTTTGCCAACTTTTGAGTGTCATTCTATTTGCCAGAAGATGGCATAATAAATTGCAACAGTATTTATCAATGGTTTGAAAATTTCATCAAAAGACCCAAATATCTCTTTTTTTTAGGACTCAGGGCATCCACTTGGCAAAATGGGATGCAAAGTATTGACTAAATTAAATGAAAACTAGTTTATTAAAAAAGATTCTATGAAGCTGGAGGAGACAAAAATCCCAAATAAGTGCCAACAATGTACACAATGAAGTAGAGATTGCTATTTATTGATGATGTGAGTTTGTTTTTTTTTTTTGCATTTACAAATGCACAAAAATGTCATTTAAAGTATAACTGAAGGAAATAAATCTGATGTGAGTCTAAACATAAGACTTACTAGCTGCAGTGATGGTGAACACCACACTGGGAAGGGCAGCCAGTCAGCTTATGCCATCTATAAACGTACTACAGACAAATAATTTTGCCAATGTCAACTGTTCTACTAAACTCTTCCCTCATTATGCTGACAATTGCCTTGCATTACGTTTACCATAAAATAACTCTCATTGGCATCCAAGCTTTTATAAAAACACCTTCATTTTGCTCAAAAAGGGCAGTCAATAGATACAGAGAAGCCAAACTGAACAGCCTCAACAAAATAAAATTAACATCAGCAGCAAATCCTCTTGCTGAAGACTTCAGATATAGTGCACGTGTACCAAAGTTCTACAGTTGTTAAAAAGGTGCACACACACACTTATTTTTGTCCCTTGCCTTGACAATCTGGTTAAGTAAGTCAGTTATGGATTTTAATAGCTTTTTCAAGGTAAGTGTAGCGACTTCTCTTTGGGGCTTTATTGAAATGGTCAAGCCCTAGCCATGGCCTTGGATGAGACATGTTGCCTAGAAAAGAAAAGAGAAAAACATTATTGAAGTTTTAAGACTACACTGGAACATTTCTGTTACACAAACTACTTCTGTGTGCCCTGTTCACAGTTTGCTGGGAATCACAGGGGAGGGAAGGAGGCTGCAGAACAGCCCTGCAGTCCACAGCCAACAGGGCACTTTCCTGACCAACAATACATTTTACAGTTGTTTCTGGATCAGGCAGCTGTTTTGTCCCTTCTTCAGTCACTTACAGGTGTTTACAGCAGTGAACTGTGTGCTAAAGCAAGAAAACTACTGTTAAAACCTATGGCCACAGGCATATCGAGTACCAGCTTTCACCCAAGTGCTGAGCCTGTTTCAAACAGGGAGGTTTCCATCATCAAAATGTGGCAACCTACAGCATTCACTCTATTGTAAGTTATCTCTGCTATTTTAAGCTAATCCTATCACCTGGTTAAAGTGGGAATATTTGTTAAATTCATGTAAAATGGAAATAATGTTAATGAACAAAACGTGTAACTGACCCTCCTCTTTATTTTCTGAGAAGAAACTGTAGTCATATTTAGATTGCAAAGAAAACATACAGACTGTTTCACTTGTTCAACCTAATATGATTTTTTCTACTGCTAATTTTCATGAAAAGCCACAGTCCACACCCTTCTTGCAAATGGAAGAAATACTTTTCTAAGATGTCCTCAATTCAGAGCATCACATGGTCTTTGAAGTGAAATGATAAAGGCAGAAACTAAAGAGTCCTCCAGCAAGAAAAGCACACTCTTACATTCAAAGCCATCAACTGCAACCACTAAAGCATAAAACCCTTGACCTTGTTCATTGCCTGCATCTGCTTTTTGGGATCGATTTTCCTCAATCAAAATTATTTGGTTTTTTGCTTAACGTAACGGTCAATGTCAAATAAAAAGAGAATTGCCAATCTTACTCGAATGTTTTTACAGGAAAAAATTAAGTCCTACATGGCTAGTGCCAGCACAATCATTTCTATAGTGCACCTTGGCAAAAGCAGAGAGACACCATTGACATCAGCTATGTCAGATTGAGAAATGCCAGACCTTTGGTTCCATCAGTCCACCATGTGTTAGAATTTGGTATTTGTACAAATTAATTCTACCAAAGTGTATTATATCAAAGGGGTAACTTCTCATGACCTCTAAAACCTTTTATTCTTATATTCCCTACAATTCCTACAAATGGTTCAAGTTTTCCCTTTTCCCCTTTCTGACATGTTCTGTACTTTTGCCCTGGTTAGTTTTTTGTGTTGTTTTGGCAATAGTGGTTCTTCCTTGCTCACAAAGTCTGACAGTTTGTTTCAGACTATTGCCTTTCCCTCCCAGATCCAAAAGAAATGACTCCCAGAAAACAACCAGGACTCTGCTTGCTCTGGGCACACCAGAGAGAGTTTATGTGTCCATGGAGAAATGTCCACCTCAAAGTTCATCTTCCAGAGACTCCTCACAAGTAGTGCAGAGAGAGAGGTCCCTCCAGTGACACACTCCTGGGCTCACACAACTTGTGCAGCTGTGAGTGGAGGCACTCACAGTTTTGGCAAATCCCCTCACAGCCATAAACCCAGCTGTGCAACACAGACAACAAGAGGACTTTATGCTGGGTTCCTGCAAAGTACTCAGTAATACTACAGGTCTAACCCTCTGCAGGTTTTGACATAAATGGACAGTTACAGGATTTCTTTACAAGTGTCACATAAATCCAGAGCACAGCTGGAAAAAATAGGAGGAAGCCTGACCCTAGCAAAACCTACTAACAAAAACCAGAGTTCCTAATTGTCAGAAAAATAGAACTGCAGAGAGCAAGTTGTCCTCAAACTTGTTCCTACTAGACAGAGCAGCTCACAAAGAGGAACACTCAGCTAAGCTAGGGCAAAAAAACCCCATGAATTAAAGGTTTTCAATGGATCCCCGACTGTGGATTCAAAGGGGCCATTCCCAATTGTAACACTCAAAAGAGGAAAAGAAGAGATTTAGATTAGATGTTAGGAAGAAATTCTGTACTCAGAGAGTGGTGAGACACTGGCACAGGTTGCCAGAGAAGCTGTGGATGCCCCACCCTTGGAAGAGTTCAAGGCCAGGCTGGACGGGGCTTGGAGCAACTTGGTCTAGTGGGTGGCATCCCTGCCCAGGGAGGGAGTTGGAATGAGATTGTCTTTTAAGGTGCCTTCCAGCCCAAACCATTCTATGATTCTATGAAAAGACTACTGTGGTGGAATTCCTGAAGGATTAATCTGGTTTCTCCCATGTGTAAATTCCTCAGAGAACAGATCTTTAAATATCAGTCAAGCAAACAAGATGGCAGACCATCCAGAGACAAACGTAGAACAGAGCTGCATTTGTAGCTTGGGGAATCATCTCTTAGGAAAAGAAAATCAAACCAGCATCTTATTCATAACATATGTAATGTTCTTGTTAAGATTTTTCAGATTCATTGCAGATATCAAGATATCAAGAATGAACAAGTATCATTCCATAAGGATCAAATGTTCAAGGGAGCAGATGGACAATAACGATAAGGTGCAAGTGACACTGTAATTCACTTCTGTCAAGTGTGATATACTGATATTTGACCCATTTGGTCACTCAAATGCAATCTTTTAACTCTCAAGGAAACAGATTATTTAGTTACTTATATGCCTATAAAGTACATATCCTCAGACTAACATATACAATTAACACTGCTCCCTGTGCATGCAAGTGTATATAAATACTTGATTGGTTACTACATATAACCTAGGTCATGAACAAAGAGTTTCTGCATCCTGAGTTAAGGATAATCACTTTTTAACAACTGGCAGAGCAACTTCAGCAAGTCAAAAGAATAGTGAAGTTGTCTAAAAACTTACCAGGTTGGGACTCAAAATCTTTCAAGTTCACTTCATACTCATCTTCATTGAGATACTGGTGTCGGCCCATCATTACAATGGCAAATTTAAACTGTGAAAAGAAAAGGGAAAAAAACAACTGGTAGGACACCACACTAAAATAAAGCTTCAAATCTAAGTTCATAGTATAACTCACAGCTGGTTATAAGTCATATTCTTTAGGGGTTGTAAAAGGCCAACGTATAAGAAAAGAAAAAAGTCTTCACAATGATGGTGGTGCTGTTATAAAATACAGCGTCCAGGACGTGGCAGAATTCCCATCCTTGGGAGCTTACAAAGTGCAGTGAGGTAAAACCCTGCACACAACCTGACTTTGAGCCAAGTTCTGCTCTGAGCAGGGATGTGAAGTGGGGGTGGCCTCTAGAGGTCCCACACCAGCTACACTTTTCTGGGTCGCTTCAATGTCTTGCTGAGTATCTCTCTTGATGCAGCACAGAAACACTACCCCTACCCATCCTACCTAATTATTCTTAGAAAAAGCATAATTTCAGTCAAGCAATCGTTCTATCAATCAAAACCTACACTTATCCCAAGTCTGTGGTTTGCATACTTATTAAAATAAACTCATTTAGGGTCTACAGTCAGCAGTAAAAACTCTCCTAACTTGAAATTACCTTTTCAAATTCTTTTTCTTGTATGTCCAGCATTGTCTGAATCCGCTTCATAACCTCTCTGAAGTGTTCACCCTAATAATTACAACAAGATTTTTAATGTCAAAAAATCTAGGAAAAACAAGGGAAGCTGCTAATATTTCCTGCTTTGAGCTTCATTGAAATATTTTGCCTTAATCTCTCTGTTAATTCACAAAATTACACAAATGTCAACATCATTCAGTACCATATGGAACAACAGCAGGCAACCTGCTATAAATTCAGCAACTTTAAGTTAAAAACTTAACTTTTAACTTTTTTTAACTTTTAACTTAAGTTAAAAGTCTTATTGATTCATCATAATGCAAATTGCCCCATAAAGTGACCAGGCATTGCCAGTGACATGTGCAAGTCAGGTTAAAGTTAAAAATCAAAGACAGAAAATAAGCAGCAAAACAGGAATTTTGGGGGAAAAAAAAACCAAACCCACAACATATTCTTGCTAAGCATATTGCTACTTTTTGTAGTATGTTTCTGCTCACTGTCTGTGTAAACTGCCCAAAAAAGTGATGAATGGATACCATCAACTTAAAGATGAATAATATGTATCACCTGTCATACACAAAGAACTGCAGTGCAAATGGTTTCCACCAGAAATCACTATAAAAGGTTTACTCTACAGTGATCAAAAATATGGAAATTAGTAAAATTCTATGAGGTAGAGAGATGTGGATGCATTCCTTATTGGCAAATCTTTAAAGGCAGGTAATTTTCATACAAACTAATATACATGAGCCAGAAAAAGTTTAGAAGCAAATGGTCGAGTGCCCCCAGAAATACACTTTGATATTAAAAGGATCAGTGTGACATTCAACTGGAGCAGCACCACAGAAAAACCTGAGAATTTAAATTAAGCTTTCCAAATTAGCTTTCACTCTTGTATTAACTTCCAGCCCTAGAAGATAAAGCACATCAAATTACAGAAGTTATGAAATGCAAAGTCATCTCAGAAAAAGAGCTGAAGAAAATAACCTCATTTTCCATAATCACCTGTCTCAGTAAGAAGCTGAACAACCACGGCCTGTTCAACTTTTGCCAACAAGTTCACACTGCAGTTACTAAAGTGGTATTGGAAATAGGGTTCTGTGTTTGTTGGGGGGTTCTGCAGGGGGTTGGGGAATGAGGTAGTACTGATTTAACAGCATTAAAAGTCCTTGTCTGAGGCCAAATACCTGCTTTCTGGATATTGCACGGGCTCACTGAAACACTGAACAATCTGTACATGCAAAAGGGAACTGAGATGGTGAATGATTTAACCATAAAAAGGCAGAGCCAGGGCAGAACATCCTATACAGGTATTTTCCTATACACTTGTGACACTAATCCATTTCTTTGACAGTACTTTAACAAAACATCATCAGTACAATCCCACAGGGAGAAAAAGGAAGGCACACTGTACCTGGTGTATCCTCAGCAAGAATGGAATTCCAAATGTCCCAAAAACCTCTTTGTGGAAATGTGCCACTGTGATTAGCATCTCATTTTCTTTATCTATATCTACCTGGTCCAGAGGAATTTCCTAGATCCAGACACAGAATTAGGACTGCAATCAGCTAAACTTCCCCCAAAAGTACCTTATTAAGTAACTAAAAGCATTTTTGATGTCTTGTTACCGATGTAAAACAATTCTATTTAAAAACAATTAAAGGAACCATGTTGTTTGACAGTCTTTTTACAAGAGTCTTCATTACAATCTACATTGGAAACTTTTTTTTTTTGTAATTTCTGATCTTTCAAGCAGGTCAATAGATCTGAATGATGAAAGAAAAAAAATCACACTAAGTAACAAAATTTGCCTCAGGAAGCTCAAACTTCACAGATAAGGACACAAAGTCTTCTAGAATATTTAAGTTTATACTATGGAAGTGGGTTCTAAGAATAAACATTTATATCACAAACCTTGGAATTATTGCCAAGATACTAAATGTCCTATGGACAGGCCATTGCCAGGCCCTCACATATTGTTATAATAAGCATGTATAAAAAATTAAGAATGAAATAATTATAGGGAAGCAGATGAACAAACAAGGATCCTTTTAGAAGGACTACCTTTAAAAATACATATATATTATCATGTAATCTAACTTGCTGCAGGCATCACAGTATTTGAAAATCGAAATCTAGAAAAAGAGAATTCCCACTTGAGAGGGTTTCCTCTCTCAAAGTCAAGTTGCAAAGTTTCTTTAAGAGAATTTATTTACCTCTATTCGAAACGTTCGACTTGTGGCAGGTGACAAACACTCTAACAGCTCATCTTCCTGATGGACACCAATTATTTTGTAACTTACAATTTCTAGCAGCCTTAAAATAAACAAACAGGAAAAGCATTTTTAAAAAGCAAAATTAAAAACCCCAAAACAATGCAACATTTCTTCCACAAACCTTGAGAAAGATTAGTGCAGTCAGGATGTAAAGTGATGCTACTTCTTTCTTTGTAAAACTTTAAATTCAGTCTTTAGTAAAAATTAAGCAGTAAAGCTACAAGAGCTTAAATTACTTCTGGCTCATGGCAAAAAAGCCAGTACATGCCATTACAAAACAAGGCTTTTTAATATAGATTGCTTAAAAAATTCTCTTTACATGACCTCACTTTTAACTCCTGTAACTCCCAAGAAATGAATAGTATGAAATCTTGAATTGGAAACAATTATTAAATTGTGAGCTAACAAATGCAATTGATGAAACTTATGCCTCTCAAGGACATAACTTTATGAAATACAAAATAAATAATTGCATACAATTTATATTCATATAAATTTATATATAACTCTTTTTAACAGTGGGAATCTGGAAGCTTTTTATTTTTAACACAGTATCAGACTTAATTTGTTAATAATACTTTCTACAGTATTTTAAATTCTATGGATATTTTTCTGCATAAAATCCACGTGATCACATAAAAAGAAATCAAAATCCTCCAGCTTTACCTTAATTTCCCTGAACCTTTTTCAGAGAGTTCTACAACTTTTTTACATTCTTCTAACAGGTCCCGCACACACCCATGCTTATCTGGATATACTGTTATTTCCTGGGGAATTTGAAACACAAAAATCATTAGAAAATCTGAAAATGGAAAAAAATCCACATTAAAACACAGAACAGGCTGGATTCTTCACTTCATCCAAAATTCACCTGTAAAAGACAACAATTACTAAAAATAACACCTATGTTATCTTCAAAAATTTTTGTTAACAGACACAATTTTTTTTCTTTGTGGGTTTTTTCTTGTTGTTTGGTTAGAGTTTTTTTACATAAGGTACAACTTTGTTCTAATTTTATGTTATTCAGGGACAGTGTGTGACCCATAACCACAGCCATACCACTTTTGACACAGAAACAACAGCAAGTGCCTCACTCACCTCTTCCCTAAACTGGCTATTTAGCCATATGCATTTAAAACTTCTTCTGTTTTCAAAATCAGTTATTTTCATTTTGAGCTAAAGAAAGAAAAGAAAAACACTTTAGGCATACTTTGAATAGGGCAGAATGATTTTTTTTTTAACTCACACCAGTAAAAATAAAAGACTCTTACCTGTTGATAGTAGAGTTTTTTCGGTTGCCTAGGCTTGAAGAACTGCAGAAGATCTCTTAAAGTACCTTCATAATTATGTCTAAGAGGATTACCAGGGCCATCCCTATAACTACAGAAGGAAAGAGGAAAAACATGAGTGTGTTTTCCCAATCCATCTCTCCAAAATCCATCACTGCTCAGTAAATGGAAGCACCAAGAACACTTTTATTGCTGGCTTCCAGTTTCACATAATTGCTACCACAGCCTAAGCAGCACAACATACAGAGCTTTAGTGATTTTTAAACACAGCTGAGCTGTGGGAACAGAAAAACCATTCACTGTGTGTGTCAACTCTCTTGGATGTTTACAAGCTCACCCTCAGTGCTGCAGGGTGGCAGACCTGCATTCCTCTGGAATTACTGGTATGGCAGCACATGCTTTAGACTGTGGAAGGCTAATTTGCAGAGCCACATGACACAGCAAATTCCACAGTGACCACAGCACTGTAAACTACAAAGAGCTACTCAAATTCCAAGTCTCCTTGATGAGGAAGGGAGATACCCTCAGGTAACTAAAGAGCAACCTACACTTACATGAATACAAAAATATGTAAGCTTTGTGGGTGCATTATTCCTGCAGCACATACAGATAGCTACCAATACACTGTTTTCTGCTAGTTTTACACAGACTCAAATCTAGTGCCTAGATTTTAACCAGAAATATCCCTCTGAGCACCTGTGAACTTGCTAAATTGTTGTCATCTTCATAAAACCTCGTTTGCAGGGAGGGAAGAGGGGGGAAATCATTGAAGTACCTCCTGCATTTCAACTTGTAAGATCAGTAAAACTACTGCTTTTATGTGTACTTGTTTCTGCTCTCCTCCATTCTAGAAGTCTGGATTCACTGAAACAGCACTTGAATTAGCTCAGTAATTTATCCCATGACATAAGGCTTTGAATTAATGATTTTTTTCAGTGATACTTACTGGAACTCTTCTAAAACATGCAGCTCTTTGAGGCTCTAGAGCCAGACACTGCAATATTCAAACTGCCTCTGCAACCTGCTGCACATTCCAGAATGGTGACATCTTATTGGCAAAGAATCAGTTAAAAATCTGGAAAAGGCTACAAAGTAACTGCTACCTACCTATATTTGGGGCTAAATCTTTTAAGGAATAGTTTAGACACAGAACACTAAGGAATTCATCTTACCCTTGGGACTTGAAAAACTGTAATAGCATTGGATCCGTGTTAAGTCTTTGCGCGACTGTCTTTGCAACCTGAAAACAAATTTGGGGTAAGTTCTGAATTATTTCAGACAGTTATGACATTGCTCTACAATCATACACTCAATTCAATCCAAGACAAGAACATTATGTTACTGACATTCTGAGAGAAACCCACTGTCTACCCCTCCAAGGCTAAATAAACTAGTGCTGTCAGCTTCTGAACGGTTGACACAGAATAAGATATACTATGAAAAAAATGAGGAAACTGTTTTATTACAATAAATCACTGTCACCCAAATGCCACAAAATCCACAACAATAACTCTATTCCTCTGCTTGTTTGGTTGAATTTGTTGTTTGGTTGCTTTTTGCTGTTGGTTTGTTTTGGTTTTCATTTTTTTTAATTATAGTATTATTAGGGGAATAAGTAAGACTTGCTCTTTGAAGATTCCCACTCCTTTAATTCACTCCAAGGAAGTTAGCTTGCTTGGAGTGAATTAAAGTAATAACACCACATTATTCCCATATTTCACAGCATTGCCTCACAGAAGGCATGGGCATTCTCTGTCCATTTTTGCCTTACCAAACTATAAAGACCTTATACTTCAAGTGGAAAGAAAATAAGAGAGGACAACTGGCCAAAAGGCAGACAGTGAGAACAGGATAGCAAAAGTCATCTCTGACTTTGCCTGTGTATGCAGGTGCTCAAAGTTTCTGCCTCTGGTGACAGAAAATAAACTGTCTGGTTTTAAGTGATAATTCTGACACTGACAAAAGCAGCTGAAGAAGAACTGTAGGGAGTCAAATCTACTCAGGTTCTTAATAGATCAGACCAACTTAATTTCATTTTTTTAAAGTTTCAATGTCCAGTTTTCCTCATCTCAACACCCCATGTCACTCTTTATGAACACCACAGGTTTGATCTGTTAGTGTCACTGAGCATTAAACTGCATTGTGTGAAGAAAGCAATACAGTTTGGTCTACAAAATGAATATTGTTGGTGATACAAGCACAATATAGGTATCAGTAGATTCCCAAGGTACTTTCCTTCTAATAGCTAAATTTTACATGTCACTTCAAAAGCAAATGCATAAATTCATTAGAATATGATTTCCCTGACAGAGCAGAATGCCCTACCAAGAAAGAATCCTATTATCAAATAACTCATTATTAACAAAACTGGGGAGTTTAGAGCATTTTCCTCTCACAAGCCTTGATGGCTTCCTTAAATTTTTCATGACCACAATGCAAATGGTGCACAAGAACAGACCTACTCTTTTCTAAAGGTAATATAATACCTTTAGAATATATAGGTATATATATATATAGGTGTGTGTATATATATGTATAGAATATAAAGGTAATATAATACCTTTATAATGCACTTGTGAAGGATTGCAAAAGAACAAGGAAACGAAAGCAGAGAAACAGGGCACGTGCCTGAAAGTAATTCATCCTATTGGATAAAGTAACAACAAAGCCTGGGTCGTTGGGGATGGTTTTATCACAGAAAATGACATCCACACGATGGTAGAGGTCTCGGAAGTATTCCTTGGCTGTTGGTAGTTCGCTGTTATCATTTTCTGGGTCATCCCTACAAGAGCAAACAGATGATAACACCATTACATATCACACTGTTACGCACACAAACAGTTTGGGCTTTTAGAAACATGTTCTACAGTAAGTCAGCAACAGCTGAGAGATACAGAGCTAAAGTTTAGAAACCTTTTTAGAGAGCCACCACTCGTACACAGTAGGACTAATGCAGTCAGCAGTGACCCAGAGCCCTGTGCAGTGCAAGGCCCATCGCCCTCACCTGCTGCACTCCCTCTTGGCAGCCTGGCCATACCCTGGATCCTGTGGTTCCACAGCACCATTCCAGCAGGAGCCATCCCTCCCTCCCACCCTGGCACATCAGTGTGTGTCTGTATTGATGCTGCACAGCTTTCCACATACCCCTGTATCAATTGCTTTGCACAGAGACCAGATGTACAACAGCATTCCTTGGCCCACAGAAGCAGAGCAGTGGGCACAGAGGCTGGTTTGGGTCACTCCTGACTGGTACCCCAACTTCTCAGCAGAGAAATAGCACCAGGGTACAAGCTGTGCACTTACCCAGGAGTCAGCAGCCAGCCAAAGGTGCATAACACCAACTGGGTCAACTGGGAATGCGAGTTCCATGGCATGACATGAGAAATACATTCATCTCACATAATCTGGGATAAGAGTGCTGAAGATAGACTAGCTGGCTTCCACCCACTGTCAGCCCATGGAGAGAAACACAGCAACACAGTTGGGTGTGACCATCAGCAGTGAGAGCATAGAAATGCTGATTTATAGCCCTGACAAGATTATGAAAGATCCCTTTGATGGGTACAAGATGCAGGAGTTCCCCTTTTGCCTCAGAGAAAACTCCAGCTGAAACACCAGTACACCTACAAGCTGGATATGCTCAGGCAAACTGGGAGCATCTCCTCACCGCAGACCAGGACACCAGTAAGGAACTAACTGTGAGTGTCAGTAAAAAGGGAGAAAGGGAAAGCAGTTTAGTTCAGTTCTAGGCTGAAAGGAGCTCCAAGCCAAGAGCCTTGTACAGTGGGCATGGTACTGAGCCCGAGGTCTGAAATGCTGGAAGGCTCTTTGGTATCCGAGTTGCAGTGGTTCCACTAAAAAGCTGCACAAATCAAATGCATTCCTGACCCATTCTCTGTCATATTAGGACCTATTTCAGGCTGTTAGTTTCCTAAACTAGGATGAAACCTTCTTTTCCTTAATAATATGGCATGTGATAATTAAAGTACTACCAATATTTTTTCACTTCCCTTTTGAATAAACAAATGAGAACTGCTGAGAGCATATCTACTGTTGGAACATAATACTTTGCTCTTGTTAAAAATGCTTAGTTAAAGGAAATTCTGCTTTCAAAATGAACCAGGTGATTTAATTGCAATGATAATTGCCCCCTTAAAATACATACTTCTGAAACACTATGATGTCGCCATCCATGAGTTCATCCAGAGCTTTATCAAGAGATACATCATAGTCTTGAATCCTTTCTGTTAAATTGGGTTTAACTTCCTGCAATAAAGAACAAAAATTATTGATCACAGAACAAACAAAAGACAAAAATAAAGGTCACAATAGTGCAGAAATCTTCATGTAAGGTAACTTGTATCTCCTTTTAACTGAAAAAAATGTGTGTGTATATATATGTGTCTGTATATATATATACACACACACAAATTAAATGTAATCTTAGCTAGAGTACAGATAGATCTAATTGCTATTGATAAAACTGGCTGCTCATTTTTACCTTTGGAATCTCACTCAAATTGTCCTAATTTTCAAAACTATTTTATCATTATGCTGATAATGTTTTTTAATTAATTTTTTCCAAAATTAATTTTCTACTGATTCAGCTTCCAGAAAAAAAAAAAAAAAAAGAGAATCCCAACAAAGCCATAATGAAAATGCATGTATTATAAAATATCTATATGCATGTTACATAATTATACTCGTAGGGTGGGATAAAAGCACCTGTCTAAGCAAACTGGAATCAAACTGTTACCCTGCCCTGCCCAGAGCAGGAGCACCTGACAGTTTGCTCTTTAGGATGGCAGTGTGTGTGCTGCCCTGGAACCACCAGAGAGAGCAGCAGGACTGCTAAAAAAATTCCCAATAAAAACCCAGTTCCTTGTTCTCACTCTAGCCAGGACTTTGCCTTGGCAAGATCTGCATCTTCAGCACTAAATAAATGCAGCAGTTCTGAAGCTTTACTATTTGTGTATTTGGGCAGAAACAAGCTAGTGGAGTAAGGATTTTGTTTGCAGACTTCTGACTTAGGGAAGGAAGGAGAAGATGCAGCATTTTTTCTCAGCTTCACTGCCTAAGGGGGGCACTGAAAATACAATGGTCAATAACATCAGCAACATTAGCTGCTCTTACATGGCAACAGAGATTTAGCACAACTAAGCTACTCGTGTAGGTCTTCATGGAGAGATTTTTTTTTGGTTTTTAAAGCCTCACACTTCCAGCTGTTTAATATTAAATCTGTTTTGAAGTTAACTATCTGCTACTCTCTTGCAGCACTATAGACTTCAAAGCTACAGGTCACAGTGCTGATGGTTTATAAATCATCACAAGCAACTTTTTTAATGAATAAAGCTTCTTTTTCTTTAGTCATAGCATGTAAAAGACAAAGAAGTAGAGAAAGTCTGTCAATGCAAACCTCATAGAGGATAAGGTTAGTTTCTTGTGGAAATCCTGCTCTCTCACACATAACTGGAAGTAAGTCACCTGTTGGGAAAAAAAAAGAAGGAATGTGAAACACGTTGCAGTAACTGCTAATGAGACCAACCACAGAAAGGAGAGAACCTATTTTGCTACCCTGGAGAGATGGTTTTACAATGCCTAAGAAAGAGCCTTCCAGGTTAAAGCTTCCCTTGTTGACATCCAACCCAGAAACATATTTTAAGGTTTCCTTCTACTTCATTTGGACAACAACAATATATGTGAAAGACCATTCAAGAGATGAAATAACACCACTCCTTCCCAGAGAAAAATTTAATATCTTAAAATAAAAAATTAGAAAATATGTACAAGCCAATAAAATGAAAAACTGAAGTATTTTTACTCAGTGGATATTTGCTGAATTCCTTAAGTGGACCCATATGAAAATCAAGGCTGACACCCAATCCAGTCTCAGCAGCTGCTCAAGCTGCCATAGTGAAAGACTGCAGAGGAATTATTTTAAAAGCTATTGCAGGAGTATATTTCCCCAAATCCTTGAAACAGAAGGGAAAACCCCTGAACTGGAAAGCCATATCAAATCACAAAGCTTTACAACAAGTCTGAAAGGGCTGTTTATGTTCAGCAACATCTGGTGAGTACAGCAAACCTGTAACCAACAATTAACTGACCACCAGCAGTGACATGCTCAGTCCTGCAGAAAGTGTCACTGACACAGCATGGGGAAGAAAACTGTCAGGATCTGGGTTAAATAACAATCTGTTTCTGTGATAGAAACATTACTAAAAGAAAAAATACGTGCAACCTACTGTCTTTAAAAGCCTTTGGTTATTTCAAAGAATCTGAATTTCAGAACTCACGTATTTTACAGGATATAGGGGTGTAGATATGTCCACAATAATTCAAACTCCGAGTCTTCGGATCATACATCTTCAGAAACAACATCACATCATCTACAAAGTAAGGAACAAGACTTAATTTTAAGTAAGGGTTGGGGCAGGGAGGGGGGAAGGAGATCACCTAGATATTTTTCTTTACACACTAATAAGTATGTGTCTTTGATTTAATTATTTAATGCCCTTAAAATATAAATATATATATATAAATTTATTTAGTGAGAGTGTAAAAACATGCAAAGTCTGTCTTACACTTCAAGAGAAATGAAGGAAAAACTGCATGAGAAAAACTAATTTCAGCACTGTTTGATGGTTACATCAACGACATCCTTGAAGAAAGGAGTGTACAATGTTTTTGGAGATATACCCAAAACAGAAGTATTTTGTATTTAGGGAAGGTTTAGCCCATCTGCTTACGATCTTTATCAAACTTGGGTAATGTTGCTCCAGTAGCAGCCATCTCTGGATCTACTGTTTCCAAAAATATTGTCCAAGGATTCTCATTGTCACTGAGTTCAATCATCTATGTAGAAAGATGTGAAAGAAGAAAAAAAAAAAGGTCTCTGGAGAACATAATACAAACTGATATCTGCATTTAATCAGACACAAGAAGTTTATGACATTCTATGAGTGGGAGAGTTTTGGGGTTTTTACAGTTGTGTTAAAGGCAGTTTATGAAGAGAAACAAATACAGATACAAAACCACTAAAAGTTAAACAAAGCAGTAATGATTGGTTTTATTTAAAACAAAACCTCTTTCATTTAAAAATGTACCTACAGCTACCTTTATTATGGCAAGAACATTATTTCATGTTAGAAGTAACACAACAGTGACAGGGCAGAAACCAATCACTGTTTTCTGTGGTATTTAGACACAGTGTTTCATATTTTAAGCAACACATTTCATTAAATCCAGACTTTTTGCTCAAATAACTGAGGACTCAAAAAGATACTTCTGTTTTAAATCTAACATTAAAAATCATCATCATCATACTTTTTTTCATGGAAGAAAAATCATGCACCACATTCCTGCTTCCTATCCAAATTAATCCACTAAATCTCAAATCTGTTTAAGTATCAAACTTTACCAGATACAGTGAAATTAATTTTAAAGTTAATACCCTGAAAAAAACTGATTTCCCAAACTTAGATATTTTTAATGAGAACTAAAAATCATGAATGATGGACAGAAAAAAAATGTCCTCTATCAGTGACTATTTACCGTTTTATTGCCATCTGCTTCATTATCCAACATTGCAGGTCTTTTTGTTCCATTACTTCTTGCTTGCATTGGCCATAATCTGATTTGATCCTGGGGAAATCCCTAAAATAAATAAAAAACGTGTCAGGAAACTAAAACAAAGCAAGGAAAAAAGGCTAAGATACTTCTATTAAACCCAAACAGATCTTTTGTGTTAAGGTCTAAATTATGACTGCTGGAGAAGACAAGGGCTATGAAGCAACCATAATGTCATAAAATAAGTACATACAGGTGCTCAGCTACAGAAAACTTACCATCGTTTGAGAGAGGTTTTGAACAAATTCTGTGAGTGTGGAGTTTTTTAATACTTTGAAAACAGTGTATTTCACTTTTTCTTCATCATACATATCATTGCCTTGGTGACCACAGAACTGATCCTCTGCCACTATCTGAAAAATGACATTTAAAGGTTACTACTCACATTAGCTCAGCTGCACCATGTAATACCTTCTCCTGATGCTTTGCTATGCAACCTCACTGGCTGCCTGGGTGGTGGCCTAGTGCTAACACTATCTGTGTTTGCATGAAGACAATTTGCAAGCACACAGATTATAATTAAATTAAAAAATTGTGATTGATAGTCACATCAGCGCGAGTAATTAAAATATACTAATTCTTACAAATCCCGGACAATTAAAAACCAGTTGTGCTTAGATCCCAGTCTTGGAAGCATGTGCTCTAACAATCCTGGCACTTAAAGGGAAAAGAAAAAAGCTACATAATTATTTTATAGTGTAAGGCAAGGAGGCTGCCTAAACCTTCTGTATTTCCCAGAGCCCTCCTGCACTCTTTGTTAACAGAAACACAAACGCTGCCAGGCTCCCCACAGGAAACAGCTCCAGTGCAAATGCAGTGCAGAACGAGCCAAACTTCACCAGTGTCTCTACTTATGAACACCAGAAAGAAGATGCAAAGAAACATGGAGGCAAATGGGTTCTATTCTCCTGTGCCAGATGGGCTCTGGAAAGAGCCATAAACGGGGTTCCTTAAGGCAATTCATAACGATCTAGTCCATCTGGCTTTTCCAAAAAGATAATTGCAAATATAAGCACTCTCTCCTTCTGCTTCTACTTGATGAGCTCAGTTTGGCAGAAGTCCAGGCTTGCAGCCTATGGCTAGATACATTCTAATTTTAGAAAATAATTCCTGAAGGAGATAAAAGTGCAGTGGCAGGGCAGCCATTTGAAATAACCTGGTCCTTTTCCTTTCACCTGAACTTCCTATTTTTACTGACAAGCACATATATCCTACAGAAAACAAAAATGTCTATAACAGACAGTACTGTGTGATTCATTAGGATACTTTGCATATGTAAATATACGTACAAGCACTAAAATAATAATTTCACTTCAAACACTACTTCAGAGCACAAATTAAAAAAAAAAAGTTAAAAGGAAAGAAAAATCAAGGTTTGTCTCAGGTGGCTCAACATTCTGAATTTTCATGGTAAGGCAGTTGCAACTTAATCTGTTTCAAAAGCTGACCTGCACTTGCATATAGAGGTGAGCTTCCTGCCTCTCCTTCCTCTTCTGAGCTTCTATCCTTTTCTCCTCTTGTAGCCTTTCTACAAGTTGTTGAGGAATATCATGGTCGGTGACAGGCTGCAAAACTTCACCTACAAAGCAGATTTTATTATGTCATTTCAAGATTTACATCAAACAGCACTTTTTTTTCATGCACATTCAACTTTTCTCTGACTTGAAGTCAAAACCAGCTTTCTTCATCGTGTAATTAAAAACATGGCTTGAAATCATCATACTTTGGCAAAAGCAGCTTTTTCTATCCCAAGCCAAAACGCACTACTTCCATGAAATATGTATCACGGACTTCTGAATTAAACATTCAGAATTAAAAAAAATATTTACTACTGCTCCACTTTTTAGCACACATATATCTACATATTTATAATCAATTACTGAAGTTAGGTCAGTAAGTTTTCCAACCTGTAAAAAACCCAACGTCTGAAGCACTTTGCAGACGCCCAAGTCCTGCTTTACTGTGCTAAAGGGCACCTCTAGATTAGAACACACTTTCCAAATGTGAGAGGAAGGCTGGTTGATCCCATGGGAATTTTCAGAGGTAAATTACAGCCCTAAATCCCTGGTTTAAAATGCACCTTTGAGCACAGCCCAGAGGACACCTACTGAGTTTGGACTCCCTGATGTAGACCAGCATGTAGGCGTTGGTGCAGTGCCGCACTGACAGGTCGTCGTCGTGACCCCCGTAGTTGTGCTCAATCGCTTCCTCCTTCGTGCATCTTGATACAACATCATCGTCAAATTTACACCACTAGAGAGAAAATTTTACATAAATATAATTTTACACATAAAATCGTGTTCTTGAATGATAAATTAATCCTATTTCTGGCACGGCTTCCACCTCTTTGAAGTAACTGAAATTACTCTTCAAGCAGCGTGACTTGTAAAAAAAGATCTAGTTCAGTGTAATTTGTGCTACCTGCTACTTCTGCTCAGCAAAAGGAATTCCAAAAATACCAAACCTTTGCTGAAGTATTTGAACATTTTACACTGAATTTCAGAAGCTTTTCTTCAGACTGTTATTCAAATATCAAGTATTTCTGTATGAAACAGAAAATTGACCTTATTTGTGTTAGAATAAAATAAAAAGCAGAGATGCACAAGACAGCTGGTAATTATTTGTATATTTAGAGAAATTTACATCAAATTTTAAATTCAAACAGTAAAGTCAATTAAGAACAAACGACAAATAGCAACGAATTAGTAAAATCTGACTTCTACTTTTACTGTGAATAGTCAGGTATACACAAAACCAGTCAACTCAAGGGAAGAGGCACTTGACCTATAAATGTCTGATCCAATCAAGTCACCTAAACCTGTAACAGTGGGACATGCAAACATGCTGAACTTCTGAGTCACAGAAACACTTGAAATGTTCATATTTGCTTCAGCAAAGTCAGTTTAAAAAAAAAATTGCTGGATAAAATCAGTTTGAAGTAGAACTTTAACACATACACACATTAATGAAGGGATTCCCTTAGTCAGATGTCTTTTGCTAGAACTGAAGTGTGTCAGCAGACTTTTCTTTTAGGGTGCAAAAATTCCAGAAGCTTTGCCTGTTATGAAAACTCCATGTACACATTTGCAACACACACACACACTTGTGTTTAAGGTGCTTTTCAGTACTCACTTTGCCATCGCCCTTTGGATTTAGGTAAACAACATAATGTCCACCATGGTTATCTCCACTGTGGACCAGGACTGCGTGGAGGATGTAATTTGCAGGATCTTTAGGATCTGTTTTTTGCAAAAATTCATCTAGTGGCAACTGTTCAGGAAATTCAAACCTAGTTTTGAAAAGAATTAAGGGAATTGTATTTGTAGTTAAGACAGACACAGATTATTAAGCATTGTATGTACTCCTAAAGCAAGTTGCAAAAATTGAACACATTACTGTTACAATGCTATTTCTCTCCAGGACATACTGCATACGGTGGCAGAATTTATACTGTTTTAATATGGAATAAAAATAATCTTTGCAAGCACCTCTGGAAAAGTATGCCCTCAGTAACAAGGGTAAGAGCATTTTAACTGAAATAAGGCTGGTTTGGATTCACTGTGTCAAGATAAAAGCTTTAAAATATGCTATTTTCTGACAAATACAGTTTTCCTAGCACAGCTACCACTGGACTAGAATATTGTTTTGAAATGCCTTACAGCTGCTGCAGTCTCACCTTGGTGAGGCTGAAACCACTGCAATACAGATTTAGTTTACAACCAGCAATGTATGTCCTTTAGAAATTATCAGCCTCTATTTACAGTGAGGGGGCAAATGGCTCTCCCTCCATCTATGGGAACAGATGGAGGGAAAGCAGATAACTCCTCTTTCATCCTACTTACTCTTGTGGCAGCCTATCCACACACAAACAGGATTCTGGCAAATTATTTCTGGTAAAATACATTCACAGGTCCAAATTCTACAATTAAAAAAATTACCAACTAACCCAAAAAACCCACAAACTAAACGAACCAACCAACTTACCTATCATTTATCTTGATGTTTTGGTCAGTCTGAGGATCATACATAAACCTCATGAGCTGTAGGTGTAATACTGGGGGCAATGTTAGGAACTTCACACCTTTCTCTGCCTCCTAGACATTTTAAAGGAAATAGAGGGTTGAAATTGGAAGATATTTAGCAACTCAAAATACTTGTTTGCTGCAGACACTCTTCTTAAGGATTTTCATAGGCTTGATGACACAATGGGCACCAGCACCAAAGAATGGTTCAAAACTTGGGTGCAAGTAAACTACCTCAATGCTACACCAGCCTTCTCATGAGCTACTACAAGAACTCAGTTAATTTAAATTTAGGCCATTTATACAAGCACACTTGGACACCTCACAGCATTAAGAGCAAGTCACATGTATAAATATAATTAAAAAGAGAATATGGAGGAAAACCCTCATTTTTGATCAATTAAGAATTTCATGTTCATTGTATCCTGCCAACAAGTATTGGCTACTGTGCTGTACTTTCCCAAGAACAGCAAAAGAATATATAAAACATTACTGACAACATCTGGTGTATCAAAGCTGCAGAAATAAGCTTTAGTAAAACAACATTAATTATAAAGAAACTTCAGCTTCCTCCAGTGGGTGAAGCAAAGTGCAACTGAAAAGCTCAGAAACATGTGCATACACATAAATGTTTAACATTCCAGGGTTCATTTGGTGTTCTTCCTGATGATACAAATATCAAGTCTCTAAAGTTACTTCTGGAGCTATGATGCTTTTTCACTTGACACATGAAGAACAGGCTACTCAGAGGAAGAACTTTTCAGTCTTGAGATTGGTAGAAAAGTGAAACATTCCAGTAACTGAATGACTTGGTCCTATAAAACTCACTGCTAATTAGATTGCTATAAAATCTGTGCTCCATTTTCAGAAACACAACAAAAACTAAGAAGAGCTATGCAAAGCTTGTCTAAGAAGAAACATTACCAAAATCAGATGATACAATCTAGAATGGGTTTTGCAACATTGTTTTGCTAGTTTATTTTCCTTCCCTATTTTATCAAGGATAAAGAAATAACATTTAAAAGCAGATAAAAAAAAATACCTGCAAGCCATGTTCTCCTGCATCATATTTGTTATCACCATCCAACTGTTCCACTGCAACGTAGTCAATGAAGGACTCAAAAACTAAATGAAAAAAGATCAGGGAATTGCACAGAAGGAGGAGGAAAAAAGTAAGTTTACTCCAGCCTGCAATGTATTATCAAAAAACATACTAGGACATGAGAGTTTGTGTTTGAATATTTCTGTTTTTTAAAAGTTTTATATTGCTTAAGAGTGTCCAGAAATGTACCAAATTGTAGGAGCATACATAAGGGTATCAATAGATTTTAAAATCAGAGTCACAACTGTCTGCCAAAACTCCTCACTTTGCAGCTGCTGAGCAGCAAGCAAGATGACTGTTTGTTGGACTCTTACACATCCCTTTTCATGCCTTGTACTCCAAGTAAAGAGATGATAAGGGACCACTGTCATGCTGTTCTGATGAGTTCATTCTTTTTATTTGCTTATTACTATGGTCAGGTCTAAATAAGAATCTATTTCCTTCGAGTTCATCTTTATATATAAATTATTACCCACTGTGACAACACCACTGTTGTCACCATGGCACAGTATGCAGTTTTATGACATCAGGAAAACTCCTGAAGTTCGTGGACTTTTTTGAAAAGATACCAGTGAGAGAATTAGGGAGGAAGGAGCAGGGAAGGGAAATGGGATAAGGTAAAAGAAAAAAAGGTAACGCGGGTAAAATAATGTTCTGCAGAAAATATTTTCAATGAGGTGTCTTAAAGCAAAGATTTTCAAATTGCTGTGCACCAACAAAACCATTTGAAATCATAAGGCACTGAAGTCCAACATGTTGAAGTATTTAACTGGTGCATATCACAGTGTATCACTTACTATTTTTCTTTCCCTTTATACTTAGCTGGATGTCATAATAATCTTCTATTCGTTCAGATCGATAGTCTACGTGCTTGCATTGGATATAAGACTGTAAACAAAACCAAAACACCAAAGAATTTCAGTGTATACAAGTAACAGAGTAAATGTAATTATCTTTTTAAGAAGTATTAAATACATACCACCATCTTCCCTCTGAACAATTTAGGAATAGTGCCTTCTACACACGTGCCTTTCATTTTATTTTCCACATTATCGAGCAGCTGAAAGAAAAATTAGTTTTTACATAAGATGATCTTGTAGTTTTTTTATTTATTCATCACATACAGATGACTACTTCACTGAATAGACTCTACATCACTTATATAAAAATGAAATGTTAGTCTGTACTGGCATCTCCTTTCTAGTCCTTTAAATCCTCCTTTTCCCCCTAAAAATTCCACTGAGGACTACCCAAGCTACATTCCTTTGAGTCTGGAAAACCCCACAGATGTAACAATGTATTTGTGGCTTCAAAACTGCATTTCTCTCCACGGCTATAAAAGCACCATCAGTACATGTTCCAGTTACTTTCAAGCTTTCCTATTCTTTACAAATTCCTCACCCAGAAAAGGCCATAAGCAAACCCATTCTTAAAGAGAAATAAACCAAGGCAAAACCTCTGCCTTTGAAACCTAATTTAAATTAATCAAGGCCACCATTACTCAGATTGTTAGTAAATTTTATTATACATGCACAGTATCGAGACACAACATTATGCATCACAGATCAGCAAGAAATAGTGTCAACATACCACTCGACATAATTCCTGGACATCATGTTGCATGAAGCTGTCTAAAGTTTCCCACCTTTGTAAGGCAAATAAACACAACATTACTAAGTGGGAAGAAAACAATACAGCTCAAAAGACATTTTTGTGATTTCTCTGCAGATCAAGAATGTAACACACAGCAAGATGTAAAGACTGAGACTTGGTACTGGCTGAAGCACAGGATCTTTGGTTCTGTGGGATTTCCTCAGCAGGAGGAAGGGGCAGTGAACTTGTGAGACGTTCTGGCAGCCGTTCTGTGCCCACCTGCCTTCTCCTCTGTGGCACTGGGGACAGGGAGGGCAGACAGAGCCAGCTGGAGAGGCAGGGGAATTCACCCAGTCTACAACCTGGCCTCAGTTCATGCCAAAAAAAACTCTTGAAGAAAAAACCTGGGAGCAAATTCAATGCTGTCAGAATAGCTTGCAGAGCGTGTTTCTAGCTGCCTCTCTTCTGAGGGCCCTTCAGGTGCAGTCAAGTAGCGTTCTGGGATTATTTCAGCACATGAAAGGAAGCAAATGGATTTACAGGAAAGACTGGCTCCTTTGTGCTCATCTAAACAGTTAATCCTGGGCACACAGTAACTCCAAGGAGGCCTTCAGCTTTCTGAACTGCCCATGTGCAAACATACCCGTGTGAAAGCAGCAGTCTCTAAATGCCTCAGAGCCAAGGGGCACAGTGCAACAAAGGGTCCCAGCACTACTGCCTTCAACGAAACAAGAAACATGACATGTTTCTAGTTCCAGCATGAAATACTTCCTCCTGTGAGCTCTTCAACCCAAGAACGCTTTCTAAGTCTCTGACAACTCTTCTTGCAGCAGTCTCCACTCCCAACCATATGAAATAAGCCCTGCTGACTGAAGGTTTCAGCTTCACCCTGATGTTCTACCTCAACCCTGGAAGTCACCAGCACAGGGGTGATCAGGAGCACCACTGACTTTATCTTCCCTCCCACTCTCCTCTCTGTGACTCACCCCCACTGTCACACGGCAGCACACTCATCTCAAAATTGTGCCAACAACTGTGTGGGGTCCACAGTTTAAAAAGCTGAATGAAGTGACCTGTTAGATAATTAAAAATGAAAAATAATGTCCTGACTCCCTAGGCTTGAAACACTAACCAGTTTAAAGGACAAAAGAAAAAGAAGGTCACATACTAAAATTAGGATTAAAAGGGCTCCTTCAGACATGCCATCAGTTTCTACTGAAAGAAGCCAAAATCAGTTAGAAACTCACAACACCCACTAAAAAGTAATACTCTAAACAGCACCTAGGTAGGGCTCACAAGGTCAGACACCCCTCCCTGATTCCAGGGTGAGGGAAGGGGGAAACCCAGATCTTGAAACACATTCAAAAATTCCTTCCCAAAAATGAAAGCAGGCATGAACACATTTTTAAAACCTTGTTCTCAGATACAAAATTAAGCATCTGAAACACCCTCGGGAAAGGTGTCTCTTCATGCTACTAAAGATAACAAAGCTGGGATCTTAATTCAAGATGAAATATTTACACTTTCACCAAGTCCTTTCCATGTAACAGGACAGGAGGAGCACTGATAAACTAAATATACAGTGTGCTAGCAGGAAGAGAGTATGGCCAGATAAACACAAAACACTGAGGTTACTGATTTCATTTTAAACTTCCCCCAAAAGGTAAAAAGTAGAGGCTGCAAAGACACAGGTTTTATTAGGACAGAGCACCACTACAAGGGTTAGCAGCAGATGCAGGATGAACACTCAGGCAGTTGTGTGGATACAAACTTCCTCATGTGCTTTTAAATAAAAAAGTGTTTGTCAATATTACTACAGGACTAGTCTACTGATACAGTGAAATAAAGTAATGTACAGTACAGTATTTTAGAACAGATTTTAATCAAATCCTACTCCACGCTTACAGAACATGCAAAGAGAAGGCTTGTAAAGGTTATGCTAATCATAATCTTTCTGTCCTAACTTGTGCTCAACTAAAACATCACGCTTGTAAAACACACAAAAAACCCACCCTTAATGTAGCTGTATTGTATAATCCTATGTCTAGATACTCCAGATTTACAATTACACCCTCTAACACCATCTCACAAGAAATATGACCAGACTGGAAAAAAATACCAGGCAGTCAAGTGGATACTGGGCAGAAAAGAAAATAAGAAGCAAGCCCTTTTGTGGATGTTCTCTGGGGGAAAAGAGGGTGCTAGAATGAGGAAATGCAAATAATTACTCTCTGTGTGCTCCAACACCTTTACTTCATGCAGCTGATACTCCTGTTAAGCTTTGAATCACCAAACAGAACACAGCATTACACGGTTCTAAATCATGTTACAGCAGCCCTCAGTGCAGAACTCACATGGAAATGAAAATTACTGCTATTCCCTACATTTAAAACAGAATTATTTTTTTAAAAGACATTAAGAATACATCAACTGCAATATTTCAATAACTATTTACTCTGAATTTTACTTAAGCCAAATGTATTACATAATTTTCAGGTAACAGGTAAATGATAACCCTGCTACTAACAGCTGTGTTTGTGTACCATTCCTCTTTCCAAAAAATCTGGCTTTTGGATCAGTTGTCTTTAGTACTGACTATAAATAAAAACCTATGCAAGTAAACTACGAAAAGTTAATGATTAACACTGTTATATTAAGACTTCTCAGTGCCTCTCTAAAAATAACCCAATTTAAGAAGAGCCTTTTTAAAGAAAAGCTTTATAAAGCCTGTAAAAATCCAATAAATAGCCACGATTTCTGAAACTTACCCAAACGATTTTGTTAACTTTTTAGTTCCAACTGGTTTGTCACTATGTTGCAGCTCATAAAACACTCTTTGCAATGCTAAAGGAACACTTTTGGATGAATCATCTCCTTCTGTGGGCATCATGTACACAGCCTGAAAAAGCATTTAGTTCAATTAGTATCTAAGGAAAAGTTTATTGCTCATATTGTTTAATGCATTCTTTCCTCTTCAGTGACTTCCTTCACAGAACTCAATTTAATCATCACTTCAAAACAGTCTGAAAAAAGTCTTGTGCTGTAGTGTAAAAACGTTAATTGTCTGGAATGACTTTAGAGCACAGTGGTTAGAAAGATGTGAACAACAGATTCTATTCATGGTTATTTTATCTAAATAGTTCCCTTATTCCACCCTAGAACAGTAAATGCACTAAAGCATTTAACACCTTCAAACAAGTTATCACGCCTGGTTTATCCATGCAATCGTCACAGTAGGAACAGATATACTGGTCAACACTGCAGGCTTTTGAAAATAACTTGTTTTGTGAAAAAGCAACCACATGAAACCATAAAGGGCAACAAGTGAATGAAAACAGAAATGGTCCACATGGGGAAAGATGTTAGAGGAAGCTTTGAGATTCCCTGATACATTCATTCATTCCTACTTAATGTCATCACTGTCCAGCAAATAAACATCTTAACAATTCAATTCACTGATTATAATGATCTGGGAAGGATTGAGAACAAAGAAATTACACAAACAGACCAAACAAGGATTAGGAGAGTTCAGTAGGCACTGAAATGAGATTTACTTTTTTAAAAGTGTACATCAATATATGTAGGGAAAACGAAGGGCAAACAAAAGGTATTTACAGGGAGATGCTCATTTAAGAAGCAGAGACATAAAAAGAAAACAGACAACCCTGGAAGGAGATTAGGTAACAACAAATGAAACTAAAAGGACTCCAATATTAAGTAGCATATGAGAAAATAACCTGTTAAAACACAGAAAAACTGCCACCTGAACTTTTCCTTGTGAAACAAAAGGGAATGATCCCTTTCTGTGAGTGAAGTGCTGAACTGGATGTCAGTGGCTCTCCCTATGTTTGTGCCTTAGCCTGGATGCCAGAGGGGTGCAGCAACTCCAACATATTATGTTTTTATAAATTTTATAAATTGAAGAAAACTGCATCTTCAATTTTATAACCAGCAATGGGTTTTAACTCTCAAAACTCAACAATCCTTAAACTTTTCTAATGAGTTAAGACTGCTTTAAGACTTTATAGTGATCCACCCTGGAGGAGAACTCTGTGGGTTCTGAACTCTGCTCCTGCCCACAGAGGTGCCAAGTTCAAAGCTGGGTTGAGTTGCTCAGGATCAGATCCAGTTGAATTCTGAGCACCTCCAGCAATGGAGATCCCACAACCTCTCCACACATCCTACTGGAAGGCTGGACCATGCTGATTATGAAAATTTCCTTCCTAAGGTCAGAACACTGAATTTCAGAACAACTCTAAGAAGTTAAACAAGCAAGTAATTTTCAATTGCTATATTTTTATCATCCAAATGCAGAGTTACAGTTCAACACGGTGATCTGGGCAAACTCCAAATATGAATAGTTAGAATAACACCTTTGATTTTACAAGTAAAACTAATTTCTTGCTTTGAAATATGAACATCAAAACAAGTCAGCATCTCACAGAGTTAACTTAAAACCCCTCCCTGCCCCCAGTTTATGAACCCTTTTATGAGTGGGTGTCACTGGCTAAAGGTAGAAGCAGAAGTTTGAATGACCATCTTAAATCTTCCAAATCTCTATAATCAACCCCTATTAACTTTTTTAACATCTTATAAATGCTTTTTAAAAAATAAATATATATTACATGCTATGTTTAAACAAATAGAAACAAGGTACAAAAATCGAGTAATGAAAAATATAAATACAGTCAGCGGTGATATGTTTTAAATAAATAAATATTAAAATGCTAAACCTACAGTAGGCTAAAAGTTAAACCTGTGTTTGACTCTTCCATCAAAAATGCATAAATTGGAGTTCAGAATACCTTGATAATTAACCAAATCCTTTACATCTAGTTCTTGTTTGTTTTCCTCATATGCCATCTGGACAATTAATTCCTTTCCTATATCTCTCAAGTAATATTAAAATAGTCATTCACAATTTACTTATAATTCCTACATTCCAGCTGCCATTGAATAAAAAATTTCTTCTGAAATTCTACATGTGTCAATCCAAACCAGGCATTTAACTCAGCTTTCCTTGGTTCTCCATCCTGGTTGTGCATACAGGTGGTATTGAAGCTCATTTCTCTAAGTTTGGAGTGTTTCTCCACACTAAAACAAGCCACTTTTCAAATGTGATCCTCTACAAACTCTTATTTTTATTGCCTTATCCTCCCAAATTCTGAAAGCTTGACCTCAAGATCAAGAAGTGAGGCATTCTGATCCACTTAAAAAAGCAGAATCTCCTATTTAACATCTGAGAAGCTCCCTCAGGAAATGAACACAAAAGAGGAATAGGGACATGCATAGGCAGGGACTATAAGCAACAGATAGATATGAGAAAAATTTTAGATATTTACATAGTGAAAGGATGCTACAGATAACCTTGAACACATTGCTTAAAGCCAAGAATTCCTTGAGGAAGGGAAGAAAATACTGTGCATGAAATTCCAAGGTTAGGTGAAATATACTGGAGAACCTGAGGAGAGCCAGATCAGGGAGAAATGCACTGGACCAAGATTTATAATTTTAGTGTAGTTATATGAATATCCTGCAATGTTCTCATGAATTGTAGGGAATTTTTCAGGGCAACCAGCAAAAAGTTTCAAAACGGACTGGAAGCAGCCACAATTACTGATGGGCTGGAGGCACTGATGACAGTTCTGGGACAACTCAAGATCAAACCTGCACCCATCTGGGAAGTTGCTACTGCTCCTTGCCTACCTGGACTACAGTTAAGCACATATTTATTGGTCACAGACAAAGATATGCTCAGAAGAGAGAGTTCCTTGGCTTTATTCTCTACCTCTGAAGCTGCTTGGTAGCTTAAAAGGGAGGTCTCACTTCAAATACCCAAGAACCTCCCATCTGTTGTCTGGAGGCAGAGCAAAGAAGAAAGGACCTCTCCATCAATCCTCCCCCACACTTCCCCAGGGTCTGCCTTTCCATAGGTACCTGTTTGCCTTTGCTATTGTTCTTTGCTTCCCCAGCTCTGCTCCTGACAGCAGCTTCTCTGGGAACAAAGCTCTAAATAACAGCAATAGAAGTCCTTATCTCTTCTGAGTAAGAAGGATTCACAGAAATTATGGATATGGTGAGAAGCAAACTGAGGATGCTACATGTTTTATTTTACTCGGTTTTTAGAGGAACGAGTTTGCTCAAAGTGAAAACAAAAGTGTTGTGAAAAGTACTTTTTTCAGACAAGACAACTACTGATTCTTCCTGACCTGTACCAGTGGCATTCCAGCTGATGTTCAGGACCATTTCCATAAAGGAAGCTGCAGCTACCAGCTAGTAAATCAAGTTTTCTCATATGGCTACTATCCAGATATTAACACTTCCTAAAAGCTGCTATTTATTTTGGGGCTGGGGGAGAAGTGCAGGGCAATGCTTGAAAAGGTTAGTTAGTTGAAACAAATCTCTATCACAAAAAGCCTTTCTCCTTCACAGAACAAGATCACTTCATATTGATTTACTGCTACAAGAGAGTCTTGAAACAAACTGCTCAATTGGATTAGATGGAGTCATTACAAAAATACTTTTTTCTCTGAATAGCAAAGTGAAGTTGTCCAAAAACATAAAATGCACAAACACTATGAGTTATGAGCTGAGCAAAAAGAACAGGAATTATAATGAATGAAAAGCTGAACGAGTGAATTACACCTCCTGCAAAAAGAAACAGGTGCATCATGTAAAACAAGTCAGGTATTTATTTCTTGTCCATGGCATTGGTAAGATCTCAGCTACAGTCTAATGGAGTTTGATGTGCTTTTTCAAAGTAAAGAGCACATTGCAAAAGAGAAAAAAAGAAATGCCAACTGGGACACTTACAGGTCACAGTGATATAAGTAATAAGATGGTGGGAAACTGAAGACAACGGAAAACAAGTACATTAAAAAGGGAAAAGAAAGTTTAATTCAAAGGTAACAACTACTCTACACAAGAGAAAGCCTAAGCAGAACAGTTCATTTTCACTAAGAGACATACAGTAAATGCAGAAATGGGCAGACAATGAATTAGGATCAATAGGACATTCTACTAAACTAAATAGTGCTGAGTTACTTTTTTTACCAAGTATATCCCCTCGTCTAGATAACCATCTCCAATATCAAGTCATCACTTCTGTTTTTAATCCCATTAGGGGTATTGCCCTGTTTTAAAGTGACATATTATGTAGCATATTTTATCCTCGGTTTGGATATTTATTACAACAATATTTAAAGAAGTTCTTTCTTGCAAAGAAATGATATCTACAGTAAATAAAAAATATCAATACAGCAAACATAAAATTAAGTTGTTTAAACTACTGAAACTACAATGCTTCCCATCACTACAAAGAGCCAACCATGATAAGAGAAAATTCAGCTGCATAATATAAATTACAAGACAGAACAAATGCAGTGCATGTGCATCTTTTTACTTTGTTTATGGGCTCAGAAGCCATAACTGACTTCCCTATTTTAACTCTTTCAAAAAATGGAAATTACTTCCAACTTTCATCTGCAAGATGTAGTCATCCCCTTTGCCTCCCCCCAGCAATTCCTACCAACATTAACATGCAATGCAGTCAAAGAAACACCCCCTGAGCTCAGGTCTTCAGCAGAAGACAAAAGTTTATGTTCCACAAACTACTCAGCCTCCAGCAAGATGTGCATCACCATGTAAGTCCAGCTCTTCTAAGAGGATAAAGGAACACACTGCTCTGTTCTAAAACACTTATAACATTGGCTATTTCAATTAGCAAACTCGTGTTCTTTCACAGGTTACTTACCTTTCGTAGCTGATTTGTGAAAAATAAAGTCTGTAACAAACTGTTCATGTAACAAGTTGCTCCCTGGTTCTTTAAGCCAACATATCCTGTGTGCTTCTTTGAATCCCACCTGGGAAACAGTTGGTGGTTAAAAACAAGACAGTTCTATATTAACTATAATAAAGGGCATTTGTTCTAAGCTAGTGCTGCTGGCAGATCTCAGCTACTCTTCACTGTTACTGAAGGTTCAAATAAACTACACTTCACTACTGACTGCCAGTAACAACAGTCTTTGCAATTAAATGCTTTGTGATTTTGTTAGCTTTTCTTTTTAAAGCTATATGTCCTATATGGAAGAAAAACTATGTACTATGCAAGTGTACTGGAACCCAGAGCTGTACTTTTAAGGGCAAGTCTCCACTTCAGTACAACCACTTTGATCACAAGTGCCATGAAGTAGAACAACTCAGATGGAGAAGTTTTACAGCAACTGTAAACCAAGGCAAGTTGGACAGCAAAGCCACTCCACTGTATCAGCTCCAAGATCACAAATGCTGAGGCCAGAACTGCAGAGGTGTTAAACCAGAGATCGACTCTGGATGGAAGTTGAGGTTCCATAACATTATGCTGACTCACACAAACAAATTTAAGCTATACAAAAATCTCCATGTGACTATAAAAATATTGCTGTGTGAATTCATCAATTAGAAGTGACAAAGTGAGAATGGCTGATGAGAGCTGCAAATGGCAGTAACACAAAATACTTGAACAATCTCAAGTAACATAAAAATACTAGAATTAAGAATTTTACTTATTTGTTTTTAATTAAAGATACTTACGCCACTCCATGTGGAGCATCTGCTTGAACATAGACTTCAAAAGTAACTTTGTCCTCTTCTATAAAGCCTTTTTCAGGATCAGTAACTTCCTGTAAAACAGGAATGACACAGGAACATGAAAAGTGCAGCTTGCAACATGACTGTAGTGAAGCATCCAGTTAGAGATCACTTTCTAGTTTCCAAGACTGAGCTATCAGTAATAATAAATTAAAGAAGAAAAACTGAAGAAAACATCAAAGTAGCTGTTTTTCAGCTTAATATATTTTAATCCTTTTTTAGTGTCTCAATACAGGAAACTTGTTCCCACCTTTTAAGATTTTGCAGTAATTTTCAGTTTTCAGTGGTACAAGAGTTGGTAATCAAATGTTCTGCTTCTTCTGGATAATACTCCAGAACCTTTGCAAATGCTTAAAAAGCTGTCACAATTCAAGATAAACCTTAGTGGTATGACTAGGGCATTAAATATCCATACACGTATACAGAGAACATGTGGAAATGCAAACAAATTTATGTTGCTTCAGAATGCCACTGACTATCACATAGTGGAAACAAACACAGATATGCAGAAAACAGTGAGGGAGTATTTAAATTACAACATAAGTAAAAGCACTCTACAAAAATTTAGTACAGGAATTTTTAAAAAATTGAAAAGTAATCCACAGCAGTGATAGAAAAAATATCAGCCTTAGAAAAAAACCCCTTTTTTAATTGGCATCTCAGTATGCAGGAGTACAAGTACAAAACTGCTCCTATCTAGCAATAGATTAGTACATGTCCAATTACTTACACTCCAGGCCATGAAGTTGGAAAAGCCCCAGTCATTCTCCTTATGAAAGAACAAGTGACTAATACGACGACTGAATGATTTTTCATCATCCTTGTAGTTTATTATCTTGAGAACTGCTTGTGCATGACAGGACCATGACCTATAAATACAGAAGAAACACTTGAAACTCATTCAAACCCAAGCTTATTATAGTTATTAGCATAATTTTTTTGTTAGGGATTTTTGGTACATCACTTTCGCACACGGCAATTTTTTTTTCCTTTTTAGATGTTAAGACTTGGTTAATTGCTATTGAGGGCATGAACCTCTGGGGCTTTCTGAAGCCACATTATGAATGTGAACTTGGAATGGAAATTTTTCTTAGGGCAACAGCATTGTTAATAAAGTACTGTCAGGCAATTGCAGGTAAGAGAGGCTGAAGAGCTGAGTGCTCTCAGAGGCGAGCTACTTCTGATCTGCTTTAACACAGATGGATGAGCCAACTCCAAGTGCTCCTGGTGTCTACAGAGTGTGGTATCTCTGCCTCTGGCTAAGGAAAGGAGGGGGTTGTTCTACCCTCCTTCCACAAGATAAACTCCCCAACACCAATTGTCTCAGCAGCACTTCTTTATGACCATTCCTGTTCAAAATCACCCTACCTGTGCAAGACAATCAGTCTGAATGTCAGCTCAGACAAGGTCTTGTCACTGCCTCATGCAGTGGCATTACTGCTTGCTTAGCTCCACCAGCTGCACCTTGGTTGGTACTTTTAGAGATCACATTATCCTTTTTCTGTGACTGCTTGCACATGAATCACTTCTCCTGCGACTTGTTAATACACTTCCAACTTTTTTCTTTACGTCCTGCACTAACCACTCACCTTCTAAATGACAAAACTGATGAAAAAGAGCAACCTGTTATTCAGATTGAACAACAAGTTTTGTGAGATTTGGTGCAAGAATGGAGTTACCCTGCTGGAAGGGACACCTGTGGGGTCTGCACTCTGGCAGGAGAAGCTGCAGGAATGCCCCAGAAATTTGTAGTTATCTTTTAAAATTTTTGTATTACTTACAAAAGTGTTCAAAGATAACCAATTTTGATTTGCATGCAGGACTCCAAGAACACATATGTGTTCATATGAAAGTGGATGAACTCCACTTTCATCCCCTGCTGTGCCTCCAGTGGTAGCAGTTACCTGCTCACACACTTCACAGGGCAGGATTTATAGCTCGGCAAGGTCAGAGGAGCTCCAGTACCACTTCCATTTGAAACAAACTCAGAACACTTCCTATGCCAACAAAACTGTCAGTCAAGGACTTCCCCCCAGCAGTTAAACAGAAATGTATCTAAATTCTACCACAAACTTCTAGTTACACAAGGTACTTTCAGCTCATCCTAAAGAGGGGATTACTCTTAGGCTTTGAGATTTAGAAAGGTGAGGAGGAAAGGGGACTCACACCCTTGCAGGAATTCTTTCCTGTTGCAGAAAGCTAGGTGAAATATTTTTTGTGCATGTCTGTATTTCTTGCAACAGATTAACCAGCGTCAAGCGAGGACTTGTGCAGTAATGAAAAGGGTCTTACGTGGAATCGGATTCAGCATTGCATTGAAGGAAGAATCCTACACTTTTTTGGTGTGGTCTGTCCGGGTAGAGTCGTGGCATAACCATGATTTTCCATGGCAAATTCCGTACAAAGCAGGGAGGACTGAGAACTGACTCGCTCAATCTGTTGAAGCGTTCCACTGTAAACTGAAATGTTGCTTCCGATCGCCAACTTGTATCTGTAACACATATACAAAATTATTTGAAAAAAATGATGTTTTCACTTAAAAATGCCTTTTTCAAAAATCATGTAATGTGAGCATGTTTCATGTAGCGGGATATTGGAAGCAACAAAGACAGTCCCATCCCAGAGAGACACTGGACTACTTTATTACTTAAGTTTCAATTTTTTCATTTTGAAAAACGCTGCGACACAATTCAGGCAAACAGAGCTCTGAAAGATGCATTCCTTTTGTACACTCTTTCCTTAAATACTTCTTCAGCAGTAGAATTTGTTACCACTCAAGTTTCTTCTAAAGCAGCGGGTGCAGCAAGACAGAGACATCAAATGCTTTACAACTAAATCACAGCCCACTCTTAACTCTTCTTGAGTAGCATCTCCACAGCACAGTTTAAGTCAGCTCCCTGCATGAATCCACATGCACAAAGGACTTTCACAATCTGTTCAAATGCCCTGTTGATACCAAGTCATCATTTAGTTGTTTTTGGCTTGCAACAGTGTATTTTCAAAATGATGACCCCCATAGGTTGGCTGTTGGATTTTTTTTTTCAAATCTCATACCAGTTTGCTGAAGAACAGCTCAAGCGTAGGGTCCTGTATTCTCTGTGAGATTTCTCTTAGAGATTTTTAGCAGTCTAAAAGTTAAATAAGACACTTTTTTTAAAAAAAAAGTTTATTTTGACACACACAATTAATTTCTCTTTCTTCCCATATAGCCAGTTCTTCATATACCACGATCTGTTGTGCTTCTGCTGTACACAGCTATAACTGGGTGCTGGAGGCTGTGACAGCTTCAGCAAGGCACAAGGCTGGGCTCTGCAAGGCTGGGCTCTCCTTATTGGGACAAGCCTCATACTGCACACAGGGAAGGAACAACTGCAACTTATCCCAACAGTTCTGCAGTGCAAGGATGCACTAGACACTCCTTTTCCATGGCTCCAGCCTGACGCTGGTGTGACATGGTTTGGTTTGTTACTGGGTGTGAGGAGGCTCCAGCAGCACAGAGGGCAGCAGGCAGCACCCCTGCTCACTGCTGTTCTCACACCACCCACGGGGATGCAGAACTGATGTCACGTGTGCAGTGACACCTGAAATCAAAAAGCACCGAGGTACAATGACACCAGCCAGAGATCTGATCAGGAAATTGTGACAAGGCACACACTACACAACAAATGTGTTCTTTCTGTGCACGGGCAGCAGCAGTTCACTCAGCACCAGAGACAGTGTTGAACCATTTTTAAATAAACAGGTGAGTCCTCGTTGATACCTTACTTAAAAAATGAAACACTCTTCATTACAACATGCAACAGGGTAAAGATCATACATTTCAACACGGAAAATTAACAAGTTCTATCCACAACTGCCAGGGAACTTTGACAGATTTCGTTCTTCTCCCTTGCTAAACAGTTTTCAAGCAGTTGTCCTACTTCTGAACAGCCACCCCATTGATCTAATTTGTGTATGGTCTGACAGCCATAAGCACTCCCAACTGTCTCTTGACAGTACTACAGCCCAAACCAGCTTCCTCTCCCCTCCACACCTGCAACGACCTTGTTACCCTGCACTGTCAGCTTCCTCAGTGACACAAGAGCTCAAAGGATTCCTTTGTCCTTTTTCCCCTACATGTAAGTGCAGTTAACTGTTAGTCTATCACTGAAAAACTGTTCTCTACCCATTTTCACTACTCATTGCCTGTTGACAGAGTAGAGAGCTGGATGCTTACAACCAAAAGCCAGGCAAGCTGCAGCCAGAGGAGCTGTACACTCTAAAACTTGATCTGCAGGCAGGATAAAACAAATCTGTAACATGCTTAACAATTTAAAAATCAGCCTTCCATCACATGTCTCTCAAACCAGCTCAAGTCCTCCTCCCTACTCACAGTCAGATCAGTGCTTCTGGGCTCAGTCTAAGCCTCCAAACAACGAGCCAAGTTTGGTTTCTGCCTCCTTTGATGCAGCTTTCAGAGCACTTCAGCACAAGGATGTAGCAGTGCTGCTACAGTGTCAGCTAAAAAACACAGCCCACGCAGCATCTGCAGATGCTTCAGAGAAAGTTTGCCTGTATTTCTTGATTTCTTTTCAGGAAAGCCTGTGTATGAGAAGAACACTCTTCTCTGTAAAATATTTGAGCAATCACTAGTAACTACTCCAAAAAAACACAAGTCAACCCTGAAACAGAAGTTTCTTTAAAAATAACAACCTTCCTTTCCTTCCAGAAATCCCATTTTTTTTAGCAAGTATAATCGATTAAAAGATGAATTATATTAAAAACTGCGGTTTACACAGCAAATGTGACAATTATTCTGAGCACATCAATAAATAAAACCCTTTTTCACCCTCACAAACATGTCCACCAGCTTCCAGTAAAAGACTGCAATTGGCAGGAGGATAATTTAGTAGTGACTGGCAAGTAAGACTTCTATAAATCCCTGAACTACAAATACAAGACGTGATGCTGAACACAAGGTAAACAGAACAGACTCAGCTGACAATGCTTGGAGAAGTTACATGCAACAGATTGTATCTGCTACATGGAAAAGATTTTTTCATTGATGAGATGAATGCCACAATCAGCACCTTGATACAACAAAGATCCTGCAAATCAGAGAGCCAAATACGGAATATGATCCATTTCAAGATGGAAGCACCTATTTAAATGTTTATACGTTTAGAAAAGCAGATTTCTTTATTCTATTAGTAAATTTTGCTACCTTTAAAGTGCACTGAGGTTATTAAAATATTCTGAACCTGAATTATTAATGAGGAAACTGGCTGAATATTCTATGAATATTTTAATAATGATCCAAATACCGGATGCAATACCAGCACATGGCTAATACTGATGCTTCTGAAAGCCTCCTAGCCTCTGCAATTCTTCACAGAAATGAGACTTTAGGAGGTAATTGCAAAGCTCTGAGTTTATGTTTAGTTTGGGACCTTCTGTTTGAACTTTAACTTCTAAGAGAATTTATTCTGTGTGCTGTTTTGAATACTGATGCACTTGCAAACAAAATTCGATCAGAACCTTGTTTTTAATATTTTTTACATTAGTTGCAGGAGTCGCTATGCCAGCTCACAAAGCCTGGTTCATTAAGGCATTCTCTGTACAAAGCACACTACATTCCTTCAGCTGGTTCTTTTTAATTGCTAAGACATCATACAGAGCAACAACAGGTACTAGTCACAGTGCTTGAGAGAACACAGCCTTATCTCAAAGTCCTGCTGGTGGTCCGTGCTGCCCCCATTCCCTGTGCCTCACAATGCCTGTGGCTGGTTCCCAAGCAAAGGGGATGAGAGCTGCACTTTTTTTCCCCCCAGTCTTATCAGTCGTTTCTTTATGTGCTAAGCTGGAATAACAAAAATCACCTCCAAATTTCTTGAACTCAGAAAATCATCAGAAAGCTGGTTTCTATGATCCAGCTGGAAGCATCAACCTTTCATCTTCCTGCTCACCTCTTTCGCAGGAACCATTAAATTCACTAATTTCACTCAAGAGGTATCTAAATTCTCTTTATGCATTCTGTATCAGCTCAGATTGATGCCCCTTGCTAGGAATAACAGCAAAGGGAAACTGCGTATTTATCAGAGAAGCCCCTGTCTCTCATTTTTTTTTATCTTTTGAATCTCTGAGCTGTCCATTACACACACACATCATGCTGCAAACCAGGTTAGCAAGAGAGTAACTGCACTGGTGTGTAAATAATGCAACAGCAAGCAACTAATCTGAGTTACAGGACTTGGAAAAGAGGTATCATCCACTTACGTGAGTCTTCAGGAATGTTTTTGCAACTGTAACATTTTGCAACAGCACTACTTTCTATCTGTGTCAATGCTTCCAGCTGGATCACAGAAACCAGCAGAGTGGGCCAAAGCTCCTCACCAGGCTGAAATTCCACCAAGGCTTGAGAGGCTTTGATAAGCCTTTTGTCAACTACCTTCAGATACTTCTCCCTACCTTCATACCCAGTTCTGAGAGGAGTCAGTTGGCAGCTGACAGAAACTGCTTGACGGCAGTTTTTTGGTTAAAAAGTCCACACTATTCTGAATGAAGAGCTGGGTGTCTGATTACCTGTCAGCCTTGATATAGCCTGGGTTTCATCAGCTGTTTGTGCAGCCTAAGTTCCCTTTGCCTAATGTGTACACAGACCAACTAGTGGACAAATTCTTTTACTACCTGACCAGTGTGTTATGTACTGGCTATATCAAGAGCAAACACTGTCAGGCTTTCTATCTATAAACACCACTACTAAGAACATAAACTAAACAGAGCTGTTCTTGCCAGTCAGTGTTAACTCACATGATCTTCTCTATTCACCCTCCAAATACCATGGCCTGACAAAGACATTTAACATCTTTTACAAAAGCTTTTGATAAGAACAGAATTCCCTGTTTCACTCTCAGCTAGTTGCTCTGAGCAATAAATCAAAGCCCTCTGAATGAGATTAGGTAATCACACAAATAAAATGCATAGGTTAAAAGCAGACCTCATTTTTATTTTATTATGAGACTCTGATTATAGGAAACTTTATCTTTGCCAATGATACAGAGGCAATCCAACCATGAGATGCTTTTGTCCTGAATTTAAACCCTATTCTCTTCATGAACATTACTATTTTCTATCAGTATTCTATGTGTCTTCAATACAAGAAAGTAAGCACTTTTTTGACCTTCAACCTTAAACACTGGTTTTTCTCAAAAGATCACTCAACATTTTTGCACAAATCTAACTAAATGTTTATGCCCACTCCTGAATGTATCTCACGAGACAGCATGGAACATGAAATCAGAGTGGAACGAATCCCACTCATATGCTGTCCCCCTTCTCCCAACTCCATTTTATTTAGTTCCTCAAAATGAGCAGTCCCTGCCCATATCCTCTCCTAAGAAAAGAAGTATCACTGCACATTTTCCTCACTAAACTTAATAGACTTCAGTGAATTAAAAATTTTTTACCTTTCTTTAAATAAACCCAGACACATCTACTTATAATTTTCTGATCTTCTGCAACAGAAAAAGACTGTACACCCTTTTTTCCATTTAATGGACCAACAAAAAGACCCCCAAAACACACCTCCCCTTTTATTAACAGGACATCAATACTTATTTCTTCCTTTACATCTGCAAGTAAAAGAGCATCAGAATTGAGGGGAAAATATGTTCATCAATGGAACAGTTACCACTGACTTACCATACAAAGACAAAAGCAGAGCACAGCTGCCACCTGACAAGAGAGCAGGACAGATAAGGATTCCAAACATCCTGAAGGAATTGTGTAACTGTCACTATTCAGCAAAGCCCCAGCTGCAGCACGTTTAAAGGGATGGATCACAAAACATAACAATGGACAGTATCACTTTGGGCAATTTTAAAATGAGTATGAGGAAAAAATCCCAAGCCCTCAGAAGTCTAATCCTATTGTACAGTGTGTTAAAAGGATGCCTGTACAGAAAACCAGCAGCCACAACTACAGAGGGTTTCATTTTTTAATGAGCTGCAGTTCAGAGAACACAGGTAAGATATGGATCATTTTCTTCTCAAAATCATAACAATAAAGAAGCCAAACAAACCATGCTTTTATCAAGTATTTACTTACCATCTTCCATGTCTTCTTCAGTGTTGTTATGTCCATCAGCCATCGCTACATTCCCATTAATGACAGGATTTTGAGTAATTCTTGGAGGATCATCTGTATCTCCAGCTAAGACAAGAAAAAATATGTAAAAATTAACCAGCTGATTAATAATCAGAAATTAACATTTTTGTCTCAGGTAGCACTTACAAGACATGCCGATGGTGCACACTTGCACAGAACAGTATCTACCTTAATTATAGCACAGCAATTGTACTGGTATGTGTCTAACTACAATTCTTCAGATAGATGAATATTTATGGATGAAGAAGAAAGTCCACATTAATGTGGAATACAAATATCATTAACTGATTTCTAAGTTTTCAAACAGTCTCACAGTCAGCATCTCATAATCAAGTCTCATTAACTAAAAACTTTTTAAATCACTTTTTCTGGCATTCTGCATTTTTACACAGATACAAGTTTCTAATAGCAGACTTTCTAAATTAACAATTTACTTTAAGACTTCTTCAGTGTTACTGTTTTTTTTAAGAAAAAACCTAAACCTTTAATCAAATGTAATGGTAAGATTTATATCTTGGGGAAAATTGGAAAGGAAATCCTTTAAGATTAAGGAACATTTTAGATACAACATTTTCCAGCTTTTAGTCATCATTGCTATTAAGTTTTGCTACAAAGACCATTTAAAACATATGTAAATGCCATTAAACCAAGAGATATGAGACAACTTGATGAACTAAACACCACTATTTTAAAGATGCATTGCTTTGATGAACACACATCTTCCTGATTCATCCAACAACCGAACAACACCTCCTTTCATCACTTGTGCACCAAAAGCCAATGGATAGTTTCAGCATGATTACAGGGAAGTGGATATATTCTTGGATAAAGTGGCTTTTATCATCAAACTGTAAAACATATAACCCCTTGCAACCACCTCAAGGACAAAGCACTGCTCAAAAGACACTCTAATTTAAAGGGTCTGAGGGGTTTCTTATTGCCGTGCTAGTCCTGCTATTAACTTGTATATTCTGCTACCTCTCAAAAGCCCCAAGGCTGTAACCAAGAACAGTTTTATACCCAAAACTACACACAAGTTATTGACTGTGTGTGCACCAGGGATAACAGTTCCCAAGGGGCACAGCACGATCCCAGTCCTGGGCACGGCCGGGCTGGTGCTCCTCGCCCGTCAGCACCCTGGACAGAGCCGCTCCTGCCGCCGGCCCCGCCGAGCTCCCACGGCCTCTCTGCTCCCCAGCGCTCGAGGGGACGCCCGGGGACCAGGATGCCTAGGATTGGGATGCCCAGGGACCAGGGTGCCTAGGATTGGACTGCCTGGGGACCAGGGTGCCTAGGATTGGGATGCCCAGGGACCGGGATGCCTAGGATTGGGATGCCCAGGGACCAGGATGCCTAGGACTGGGATGCCCAGGGACCAGGATGCCTAGGATTGGGATGCCCAGGGACCAGGGTGCCTAGGATTGGGATGCCCAGAGACTGGGACGACACCTGGCTATTTGCAAGAACTGCCCAGAAGCATGGAGGCAACCAGCCTGGACGCTTGTCTTCTACTGGATTGCAACTGAATTTCTCCTGTACAGAAGGGACAAACACCAACAACAGCAGGAATTGCTGTGAGATCACCACTGAGGACCTTTAAAAGCCAGGGAGTTCGTGCCAAGGGTTGGATAAGCCATGAGAGAAGTGCAGTAGGATCAGTCACCAGTTGCTTCACAGTCTTTCCTCTCCTTACAGCACAAGGTGCTTTTGCAGCCTCATTCCAATTCACAGCACACAAGAAGATACTTTCACACCCAGCACTCCTATTCTGATTGTTTACTCCTGTAGTAAATCCGCAGAACCAGTAACCTCTGCCCTCACCTCATCAGAAACGGATCAGGTTAGAGACTTACTCCTGGATTAGAGCTCTGCAGATCACCAACTCCCTGCTCCATCACGGCTTTCGGGGCTTACTGGGGTGCAGCAGATCCCACCGAGGCACGAGCCAAAGGGATGTTTGGAAGTGTCCAATCTGCAGCACCCAGGATAACATGTGCACCACCTCTCTTATTTCTCAGAATTAGGACAAAAGCAAAATCAAGAATGACTTAAAACTTTTGATTTGGTTAGAGAAAGGTTTGCAGGAGATTGCCTCCTGTGTGATAGGGCTGCAGGAGTCCCTACCCAGAGCGACTGGCACTGACAACGCTGCAGCACGGGAGGACAGCAAGTTAAAAGAGAGATTAACTACAATAAAATTATTGGGGGAACAGGTCTGAACTGCTGCAACTCAAGGGCAGGAAAAGTGACAAAAAGAAGAGTAAGAAGGAAAGGTGCCCAAGTTCATTTCCATACTCTGCTCTCTTTTTTTGCCACTTTTTAATCTTTTAACAGGATGGTGCTGGTCTAAGCAGGACCAGTCCTCAGCAATGCAACAGTGGCAAAAGTGGCAATGGTTAGCAGAGGAAAGAGAAAATGCAGAAGAGATCATAGCAAAAGCAATCAACTTGAGCACAGGCAGGTTCTGAGAGATACTGTTTAGTGATAAGACAAATGAACCATGATGAATGCCTCTGCTGCTTTTTTTGACAAATATTGACATAGAGTTTGTTATACAGCTTTCAGAGATGGAACCCAGATAACACCAGTCAATGCTTTTGGCTTCTGTGAACAAAGGAAGTTTTTTAACTGCTAATAAAATTCAACTACTACAGCAAATCCTTTACACAAACAAAACACAATCCCTTTTCAACAGATGTACTAGCAAGCAGTATGACAAAATATATTTTCTACTACAGCATTTAAAACCAGTAATTTATGTTTTCCTCTGCTGTCCTTAAGAGCTCATAGGAAAGAACTGTAAAATCATACTAGGATTTAATTAAGAAACATGTTTTCCTTTGCCTCAAGCAGAGGCAATGCCACAGAATTATTCAAATGATACACTACAGGGTTAAGAAAGAGAAAAAAATACCTGTCCACACTGGCCAGGAAAACCTTCCTACCAAACATACTACTTAATACACTGCTGTCTTTAATGCAGCTTAAACCACAGTGTGTCAACATCACCCCAGTCATGTCATCTGCCCATTCCCAGACCAGAATACCCAGTTTTAATCATATCCTTAGAAAAAATTAGAGGTGCAGCCTATTAATCAACTGAAAGTTAACATAAACCACATCAATTAAAGAAGTATTACAACAAAGCATGAAGTGACCTTGTGAATAGGGAATGTTTTTAACTCTTTAAATACAGTACTGCAAAATATGAAATAAATAAAGCTTTCAATAGTAAAATTTTAGACACTGTCAGACTGTTTGGTGAAAAGCATTCAAGTTGTTTTCTACCTCCTCAAAAATGCAACACCTAACCCATTGTAGATATTCTTTCACTACAAAAAGGAATGCAAGGCAACATGAAAAATAGTGATTACAATGAAAAATAGTGATTACAATTTCTTCTGAAACATTTAACATCATATATGATTTTCTCTCTGCCCATGCCACTGCATTATAAACAAAAAATACATCTTGAAGAGTTTAAAGGGGGCCTCTGAGTTTGGAGGTTAAGACAACTTCCAAGAAGAGACATTTCAGACACTAGTGAGTTCGTAAAAAAAAAAAAAAAAAGCTTTATTTACTGCAAGATCATGAATGCTGAAATGAAATCAAGTCTAAACAGTGAGGTATGGAACCAGAATGGAGCTGGAGCACCCCAACACTGACTGGGAGGCTGGGAAGAAGTGTCAGTCACCTTCCACAGACCAGTGACTGGCTCCTATGGAAGTGACTCTGCAGGTGCACGCTCCTCATCGCTCAGTAACCCAGCCTGGCACTGAAGGGTTGAGATGAAAGCCTGAAAACAAAACGGTTCTTGCAATTGCTGCAGGGCAGGAGAGAAGGAAAAAAATTGCTAAATTCTCTGAAACTTCAATTTGTCATGCAGTGACAGACCTGACAGAAACTATTTAAAAAAAAAAAATCTTCTTGTTATGGACTATGACCTCAACATTATCATATTCAAATAGTCACACTATGAGGCAATAAGAAGAAAAATACCAATTATTTAAAAAGACTGTATTCAAAAAAGCCTGTTCAGATGGATTTGGCCTATTTACAAGATGAACTCAGTGTCACTGTAAGATATGTTGCTCTGTTTTTCTACTGTTCACAGTAATTCAAATCTACAAGGAAGGAACCTCAAAGTTTGCAATAATTTTTTTCCTATTAATGAGAAAGCAGAAAAGATTTTGTCAAGTTCGTGTGCCTTTCAGCACAACTTAAATCCTGTTTTAAGACAGGAGCACCTTAGAATGTGATCTCTCTGAGGTGCAGGACACAGTTGCTCAGCAGTAAACACGTGCTTGCAGTCACATGTGGGCAAAAGCTACAGAATGACTCTGCAGCAACTTAATTACGACACAAACTATCACTATTTTAACAACGATGACAAGGAACTTTACTAGCTTTCAGTCATGAGTCATATCACACCAAGTAGTCAAAGTCTGAAAGATTATCTGTGATGTCTGTCATTAACTTTTGGAGCTGGTAGCCACAGAGGAGAAACTGAAGCACTCTCTCGAGCAGGTTATGAAACATTTGTTTCCTTTTGAGGTTAAAGAGACCACAGCAGAGGAGTAATAGTGGTACTAAAAGCTTGGTTACAGTTATCACACACATCCGCCTCACACTGGAAATCACCAGCGCCGAGGGCTTTCACAGTCCCTACGGTTTGCACAGACCTCCAGAAGTGCCCCAGCAATCCCAAAAAGGAGGGGGGAGCTGCACCAAGGGCAGCATCAGCAGCCCCAAGGGATGTCAGTCATTCACTGCTGGCAGAAGCTTGAAAAATATGAACCAAACTTCATATCCAGAGTGCTGCTTTAGTGGGGGAAAGCTGAAAACACACAACTTTCTCCTCTGCTGCTGGACTAAATAGACATTCCAGTATCAAAGCCGTCATAGAAGTTTTAAAGGGTCTTTTAATACTTAAAAAAAATAGATAAATAGTACAGTGTGTACAGATATGACAAATGAGGGTCTGTGTGTGTGAATTCCAGTGGATGAGTGAACTTGCAGTAAACACTAAGAAAAGGGACTT